TTCAAGTCCTTCACTCTAATAATTAACTGGAGGTGTTGGCTCGAAAAAGATCCTTCAATGCACAATGGCCCTAAGTGCCGAGTAAAGGTATAAATTTGCAGCCCTCCACTGGCAAGTGGTTCGTCTCCATATTTATAAGCGAAAAATTCTGGAGAGGGAGGCTGAACAATAAACAAACAAACACTTTATACCTCAAAATAGGCTGACAATCACCAGTTTGTTATAATAAAGTTGATCGTGAAGTCAAGTACCTGTACTTAATCTTGCTGCACTAACAGATTACTTATTACGTCACTGACTTGTTAGACGCACAGTGTAGGGGAAACAGAGGAGTAAATCAATCTTTTTCACAATTTGTAAATATTGATATGAATTTCAAAACTTTGAAATATTTTTTCATAACATGATAAAGATCAACAATATGAACGAAGATTTTACAGCTACTGGTGTGTTTAATAATGGTTTAGCATCTTATTAATAGGAATTATGACGTAGTCAATTGTGTCATGTGATATGTGTTCTGCAACCCCTTAAGGAAAAGAAGAATGAAAACGGAATTTGTGGTACTGAATTGATTCGAGAAACTTGTTTTGCGGAAATTTAAATCTGACACAGTGTAAAAAGCATTCTTATACGAACCCTTGTAGACATGATTAGAAGCATTGCAGAATCACTTTGAAGCACACTTTCACTGAACCCTGTTAATTATGCACGCAGAAAAAGAGGAAAAAAGATATTGAAATTTGCCAACCTGGGGATATTCATAAATAGTCGACTAAAAACTACGTGATTATTTACAGATAACAGTTGCATATTCTTTTTTCTCAAAGCAAAAAGTATGCACCGGCAGCACTTGAAAAGCCCTTGTCCTACTTGAACTAATACCAAGCAGAGATTAGGTTTTGTTTACTCTCGTACGTGAATACATTGTTTCTAAAATTAGAATATTGCCACAAAACGTTCGTTTAAAAATGCTGAAAGAAATTGTGCTCCTCTTTAGTTTTAATGTTTTGAATGTGGCATCTTATCACAAAGTCAAAGGTATGTAATATTTTCACATCTTAAAAAAATCAAGTTAATTCATAATGCCGATGAATTTTTCTTTGTAAACAAATCAAAGTGGTTCAGAAATTAAGATTGTTTTCATGACAAATATTCAAGTAAAAAACAGAATGTAGATGGTTAAAGTAATAAAATTATCTGATCAATTATTTAATTATAAGTATATGTTGGTAAACTTTTCCCGAGCACCATGAGATTTGGTGCCGAGCGAAGCGAGGGACCAAATCGAATGGCGAGGGAAAAGTTTAACAACATACTTAGTACATGTTTCACATGAGAAATTAAACCTTTTGTGTCTCTATCTATTTCATTACAATTCTTTGTGTGTTTCTTGTTATTTAATCAAGATAACGATGATTTGGTCCTGACTGTTGCCATTTTGTACAGGCCCAGATGTGATAATTATACCCCTCAGGGTAATATACACCTGTCTGCAACAGGTCAGATGACAGTCTACAGTGAGTAGTTTTCAAACACAATAAGGTTCATTTCTATAGATTCAAAATCTCAGTATGAAGATATTCATGTCATTTTTATGGGATTTAAGTCAGGGGACTTGTGGACATTAGTAAAGATTTGTTTTTAGAAGTAAAATGGATAAATTGCTCTTGAAAAGCACATATTTCCACAGAAAACGAAAACAGAAAAAAGGGAAAAAATCTGTATATGGTTGGATTGTCTCGGCTTACAACAATTACAGGGAAAGTTCACACACTGCTTGAGCAATATAGGAATATCCCTGTATTTGAACTTTGCAAAAAATCAAATTTTGACTTCTTGCTGTGTCCTCTTAATCTGTTAATTAAAATCGAAGGCAAGATGGTGAGTAACCTTTTTTTTGCACTTTTTGATGAGATATAATTCTAGTTGTAAGTTATAGTCGTGTAATTGCTAAATCCTAAATATTCAAATAATTACTAAACATTTCTTAAATTTCTGTTTTAATTCAATTTTTTTTTAATTTAAATAATTTTTAATGTTTTAATTTTGGCTAATGTTGATTAATTCAGAAAGAAAGACAAGGGAAGGGAAAAAAGATCTTTTTTCCTTGTATTAACTGTTTAGCACTTCAGGTCCAACATTCATTGTTTAGTGACCTTGCCCTGTGTCCATGATTGTAACCTATCATTGATAATGATAGGTTTAATAATTATTCACACAATGGCATAGTCATCCAGCCATGAAGCTTGGGCTTGGAGTGTACCAAGTGATTTGGTGGCAGCAAAAACCCTTTGTTCGAGGTGTGAAACATGTACTAAGTCCAGTTTATCCTGTCATACAAAAAATCTTCTCAAATTCATGAATTGTACCATAATTCAACATCTCCAACTATGTATATGTATCAATTCAGCATCTTCATTACTGACAACGAGTTCCACATAAGAATATATTTAACCAAAACTTAGGTTACCTCAATGTTTATACAAATATAATTGCCAAGGTATTTGTAAAGAATCCTCAGGTTCTGAAAATCAGCGGTTAAGTAATTGAAAATGCTTAAAAATTTATCTGAATTTACGAAATAATGTTACCCATATTTCTTTAAAGCTCATAGTTATAGATAAAGATAATCATATTATATAATAAAAAAATATCACATCTCAGGAAACGCGACTAAAGCCACCAGGTATGCATTTTCTAATTGAAAATTGATCAACAAGTTTAGTTTTGGAAATAAAACTTCCAAACATTAGGAGAAAATTGCATGTTTTTTTGTTTTACCTATGTGGTATTTTAATTCTATTTACTTCAATACTGTTATAAAATACATGGTGTAAAAAGCTTGTGCTATCATTGTTAGACATGACAAATCACTTTTAATTTCATATCATTCTAAAGAGCATTAATATTTTAGGCTACATTTAATGAAATTCGAATTCTCTAAAAATGTATTTATTTTGTAATTTTGTGGGGATATGAATGCCAACTTTTGAAAGATCCTTAATTCGTTAAAATGATAATTTAGTCTACTTTCAAAATTGGAACTTAAGATAAAGTGCTTCGATTACAAAATAACAGTGTTTTTATTCCCACTTCCGTCCTGCCTTTCATGAAATCTGTACGAATAATTTATTAGTTATATATAATTATACGGGTAAAACAATTTATAAATTTTAATACATTATAATCTGTTAAGGGGGAGCAGGACCTTTAGCTATAAATGCACCTTACACATCTCAGTGCGGATCTATCAGCAGATTTCTAATCTAATTGAAACCAACCAAAGATTGTTACGTACATTGTACATGATGTATGTATGAAGTGTTGTCAGAATTGTTTCTTATGTTGATAATCGATATCTTTCGGTAATAAATGTTCACATATTTTTTGCTATTAGGTACGTGTAATGCATTTATTTCGTCATACACCTTGAAACTAGTTATAATGATCTATTAAAAATGTGAATTTTAGAATAAACTTTTAAGGGGTTAAAGGATCTAAACGTGGATGGAGAGTAAAACAATGTTGCAAGAAGTCTACGATTTTCCTACAAGAAATTCCAACAATTGCAAGCTAGCAACTTCAATTTTTACGTCACCAGGTTGTCTTATTTGTGTCAAGGAGTGAATTTATGTATTTTACTTTGATGTTTCAGCATCTGTGTTATATTTATCAATTTGACATCTCTCCCCCTCCTGTCCCACGGTATCAGTGACAACATTGACAGTGACAAGTTTTACATTCAGCGTAGAGATAAAAGGTTAAACATTTCCTGTCTTGAGAATTCGGCCTAAATTAATGTCAACCATCTTTCTTTTGATATTACAATTTCAGTTTTTATTCCATTTCATTGGCTATCTTTAGAAATGTGGGAGGAATTTGGGGGAAAGAGATGAGATTTGTGTGTATGTTAGTTATGAGTCTTAGAGTAGAGTTTTAGTGAGTTGAATGTTACTTTTTGGAAATTCATGAATAAAGAACCATAAACATGTAGTGACGAGTGTTTTCTTGGAAGGCATAATTACATCGTCACATTTGTCTAAAAGAAGGCCTTTGTATTGTTTGAATACCTTTTGCATTTAAAGCTTTTAATAGCATAATTATTTGCGAGCTAGCGTTCTACTTTTGCCCTAATCATTTTTATGTTCCAATTAAACAGACTGTATTCAAAAACTTTTCAGCTGTCTAATTGACTTTTAAATAGCAAGTTTTTAAATTGCTTTTTCTCCCAAAATATTTGCCAGATTTCAATAGAACTTGATACAGAAGTAGACTACGCTAACATACATAATTCTACATCTACCAAAAAATTTGAAATTTTATTAAAATCCTTTCAAAACTCTATTTCAAAGCAAATTTCAGATTTCAACAAAATTGTATCACAAGTACACTATACACAATATCTTGCGAAAATTTCCATACTCTGTAATTTTGTATTATCATATGGAACAAAGATGAAGATCAATTAATGGAATTTTTTTAACATTCTCAACATTTTGAGCCCAACTTTGAAATTGGATGGAAATATGTTATCCTTCCTCGACGTTATGGTTATTAAAATTGAAGACCGTATAATAACGGACGTTTTCTACTAAATAACAGATAAAAAGCAATACCTTACATTTGATTCATATCACCCTAGACGCACCAGGAATAATATTCCATACAATTTAGCAAGGTGTCTTTGTACAATAAAATACGATCTGCGGATGCTTAGTACTTAGCGGAGAGGTCTTAATCTTTTGTACATTAGGTCCAGTCTTACGCCGTTTTTTTAAACGCGATTTAGGCCCGCCTAAATTTTGGCGTAATTTGTTTAGTCGGACTAACTTAAGCCCAAATCTACGACGTTTTGAGAAACGAGCCCCTGGGGTTTAAAGGGTTCAGTGTATACTCTTATTTTATATTTCAAATATAATATACATGCATCTCGACCAAGACCACTGGCAAAGTTCTGGCCTGTGGGCGTTAAAATCATAATAAGGTTTAAATATGTCATGGAAAGTGATATCGAAAAAAGTCCACTTATTTTCAAAGATTACAAAAATCACCAATGCATCAGAAAATGTGACAGTCGTTTCCCATTGACGTGTGAATACAACTTCACAGTAGAATACTATCACACATTATCCAAAGCATGCTTCAACTGTCCACACAACGTCACAGATTGTGCACGTCCACACTGTGTGGTGGCGGACGGAACTAAAAGGGGGATAATCACGGTGAACAGAATGGTGCCTGGCCCCGGGATCCATGTAAGTCTACGTCATTGTTTTCAATATTTTCGAAAGACGTTTTTGATTGAAAAGATTTGGTAAGATAGTTCATATTTCCATTGTCGAAAGATGTTAGATATTTAATTTGAGGTTAAAAGTGATACGCTTACTCTAATCTCATCATTTCTTTAGCTCGCCTTGAATTTCAAAATAATTTTCAAAAGTTTCATAGCGTACTTTTTTGGCATATCAGATATAAATTTGGATCATACAGGTAACATGCAGTATGATTTTTATGTTTCAATGTTACCCAATTATTATTTTATAATGCTTTGTATATATTTCTAGATATGCGAAGGAGACACTATAGTAGTTAATGTACACAACAAATTGGAAGGTTCTGATGGACTGTCCATTCACTGGCATGGACTTCACCAAAGAAATACACCACATATGGATGGGATCTCCATGATTACTCAATGCGCTATCCCTGCGCATTCGTCATTCCAATACAAGTTAGGATATAATTATTTTTATTAAGACAAATGTATGAAATGGACATGTATGTTTCATTGGTGTTTATGCGATGTGAGACAAATCAAGCATTTTATTAAAAGGTATTAAGTCCCATGTACCTACAAATTTAAGTCCGAATTCACATAAAATGTAACAAATACATGTACCCCCACCTTTTTGGCATTTTCAAATAGACCATTCAAAATTTTCAAAGGGACAGAGTAAAGTTTGGTGTGAATTTGATGAAAACCTTACTGTGTATTTATACATAGACCTAAAGCAAAGGGATCGCCGACTTATGACGTCACAATTATATTTTCTTTATACGATCTCCTTACGATTGCAGCGCCCTCCCCGGGATGTATAGAAAACTTCCGACATAAACATGACGTTGTTTACATCTACATTGTCGAGATAATATGTTGACGGTGCGACCGTTAGGGCGAGCGCAGATCTACCTTTCAGTTAATTTAGATCGGGCTCTTCAAACCGCACGTGATATTTGGTACGTCTAGACTCTGACGTCACATGACGTCGTATGTAATGCTGTATTACCGAAATAAAGTCTGAACAGTGCTAATTTTAATAAAGAACGTTAAATCTACTATCTATCTGCTATATATCCATTAAATCAAGGTGAGTTTATTTCTTTTTGGAACTTCTGGGTACCGCGAGAACGTAGTTTGCGGCGAGATGCAATTCGCAAAGCATTATGGGACCACAGGTAACTGCGGAAAAACGATGTGCAAAGTCCGAAATTTCTCTTCGCCCAGGCGTTGCTTTAAGAGCTCGCAGTGACGAGCGGCGCGAATCGCTGCGCTCGCTATTATAGCCTTGAATGAATTAAATTATTGCCAAATTTACCAAAAGTTTTTTACTAACACATTGAAGAGTTTCTTTAACAGCTGTTGAGGTATTTATTGTTTCGTACTGTGTAAAATAATAAACTAAATTCAATTCACTTTATTACGTACGACATACATCTTATTGTATACAAAATATATAAATTTATAACATATAAACAGTAAGTCATAGCGCAGGTTTTTTTTAACAGCATAATAATTATACAATCAGTTTAATGGTGGAGAATGTACAAACCATTTTATTTATTTAATTTGTTTATAAGACAGTAAGACATTCATTACTTAAGTTAAAAGCATGGTATAGAAACTTTCCCAAATTACAAAGGTCCTTAACATTGTGTGCACATAACAACTGTATGAATTTAAACATAGATGGTTTTTCCCAGTAAAATTTTTCAATATATTTTACTCGTAAATCCCTATATCGTGGACATTTTAAAACAAAATGGAATTCGTCTTCAATTTCACATCTACACAATTCGCATATTCGATTTTCGCGTAATATATTTTTATGGCGTCCACTTTCTATAGCTAAATTATGTGATGACAGTCTTATCTTGCTAATTTGCTTTTTATAAATGGAAGGAATAGGTTTTACTAAATAATATTGCAGTGTGAAGTGGTCAATAATATTCTTAAATAATAATACATCTACATGAACTATTGATATCTGCAAGGAGATTCTGTACATAGGTGTCAATAATTCTTTGCTTTATAATCAAGAACAAATTCTTTCGTGGTCAGTCCACATGTATCCTAACCCAATTTCGAATAATTTATCTTAAATATTGGAAGCCCAGTTCGTGATCTTGTTCATTGGTTGTTCGATTTCCTTTAACATTTTCTCATAACATGATCTCAAAATACAATTCTTATTTTGTAATATTTTAAACCAAAATTTGAAAATCTGGAATTGTCGTACAGTCTTCATAGGCAGTCTGCCTCTTTCAAAATATATCATGGCCGTGTTTTTTTTTCCTAACATATAAAACATTCTTAATGAATTCCAGATGTATCTTTTCAATATCAAACTCGACAGTAATGTAAAACATGATCACAGAACAGCTCTGATATGTCAGCTAGGTTGCTCAAAGTGAAGCTCGTTTAAAACGTTTACATATTTATTGCGTGTAACTTTTAAATCACAAATATCTTATGAATTATAGCAGTGATTAGAGAAAGCCGATGATCCTTATTCCATTTCAGCAACAGGCCCTGAACATCACCACATGGCATTCAATCATGGTACAGTAACACGAATAAGAAGGGGGTGGGGGGTGGGGTGATAACTAACAAGAATATTTTTGACAGGTAAAAACAATTAATAAATAAATAAATAAAAAATGCTGAGAATTGGCTAAATACGAAAACAATCTATTGTAAGGGGGGGGGGGGGTCACAATTTTTATTAATCAAGAAATGCTTCATCATTGGAAAATTTTACTATATCATGCTGCAGGAAAAATGGGGTGGGAGGTCAACCTGCCTTTGCATTAACATTATCAACAACTCAATGCTTTAATGCTAAATTTACAGTAAATGATTATGTTTGAAAAAAATAAAGGAATAACACCCCCTCACACAGGTTTGTATCCATACTGTTTACTGTTGATGACAATGATCATTAGAATGCCGAATTTCAAAAACTTTTTACAATCAATCTCAAACCAGTTCTAGGGTTATACCTGATAGAAAAATGTTTACCAAAAGTTAGTTCGATATAATCATATTTATGCACACAAATTTTATAGGCATCATTGAAAAAAAACAAAAAAAAAAAACTCATATCCCATTTGAGCATGATTCTTTTAATAAAAAATATTTTCCCTAACTAAACAAGCATTCTGAGAGTATTGCATTAGCAATACTAGTCCCCTACCGGCAAGTGTAATCTGGTTCCCGTTAAGAATTGAAAATGCCATAATTCCCTCAAAAATCAATGAAGCGAGATGAAATGCAAACTTGATCTTTAACTAATCAAGGTAAAGTCACATACCAAAAATCAGCTCAATATCTGAAAGCGTTTAGAAGAAAATTGCGGAAAATCCCTAAAAATTGAAAAGGTCGTAATTCCGTCAAAAATCAATGAAGCGGAACGAAATGCAAACTTGGTCTGTAACTCATCAAGATACACTCACATACCAAAAATCAGCTCAATATCTGCAAGCGTTTAGGAAAAAAGTGCGGAAAACCAAGTGGGACAGACTGACAGACAGACAGAGGGACAGACAGACAGACAGACGGACAGAGAGACAGCTAGACAGACGGACGGACAGACTCAGAGGAAACCTATAGTCCCCTCCGGTTTCACCGGTAGGGGACTAATAACTAGGTATTGGGGGTATAGTCTTCATTAAAAGAAAAAAAAAATTAGGTGTCTGTGTTTTTTGGGGTTTGTTCCTGTTTTGCACACATTTGAATTTTAGGTATTGAAAAATTGTGTGCAAAACGGGAATTTGTCCAGGTAAGATAATTACTTAATTGCTATAGTCTTTATCATTGGAGAAAGAGATTCTATGGAAAGAATAGGAAGAAAATGTTAATTTTCCACTTGATATATTGACTTATTTCTCGAAAAAATTATTTTAAAACATAAAAAATTGCGATAGGGATATTTGGCTAAACTATCAACTTCATCTTTGGTTGGATAAGTAAAATTTTCATAATGTATTCCCTTTAAAATATATTATAATGTATTGGTAAAATACAGGTAATTCCAGGTAAACCCCAGACGAAGATTAGAATATAATTGCTATCAAAACATATTTCAAACCTATTGTTCTATGCCTTATTATCAAATATGTGCAATGTGTGTAGTAATTAAAACTATTAATTCATTCTATTTAGGCAGTCGGTTAGAGATCAAACAGTATAATTATACTGGGAGATAAACATGTACATGTGTATATAAATAATTATTTGTATTCTAAAGCTGCTAGTCATATGGAATATGATGCTCAATATATCATTATTTTGTACTTTGTAGCTGTGCATTGCATTTTAAATGATTTATTAGTCCCTTACCGGTGAAACCGGAGGGGACTATAGGTTTCCTCGGAGTCTGTCCGTCCGTCTGTCGGTCTGTCTGTCTGTCCCTCTGTCTGTCTGTCAGTCTGTCCCACTTGGTTTTCCGCACATTTTTTTCTAAACGCTTGCAGATATTGAGCTGATTTTTGGTATGTGAATGTATTTTGATGAGTTACAGATCAAGTTTGCATTTCGTTCTGCTTCATAGATTTTTGACGGAATTACGGTCTTTTCAATTTTTAGGGGTTTTCCGCAATTTTCTTCTAAACGCTTTCAGATATTGAGCTGATGTTTGGTATGTGACTTTACCTTGATTAGTTATAGATCAAGTTTGCATTTCTTCCCGCTTCATTGATTTTTGAGGGAATTATGGCATTTTCAATTCTTAACGGGAACCAGATTACACTTGCCGGTAGGGGACTAGTATTGCTAATGCAATACTCTCAGAATGCTTGTTTAAAAAAGACAATATGTCAAACATCTAGAGCAGTGTTCGCCAAATAGATGCTCACTAGAAAAAGTTGACATGTTAAACTGTAAAATGAAGTATTTCTCATTCACAAGTGTATGTAATAATACTGAAACCATGTATATTATGATGTCAATTAGCAGTGCTTTAAGCTGAACGACTTCACTCTTTGAATCAATAAAAAAGTGGAAAAGTCTGTAATATATAACAATGATTTTAATAATGTTTCATTACAGTCATATTTAAATTATTTAACATTTATATGTAATTCATATATATTGATGCAGTTTGTCTATGAGTTATGATATACCTTATAAAGGTTATTAAAAATCTGGATATAGTTGAAAAGATTGGAGCTCCAAACATGTATTATATATTATTGCGATGAAATCCAGTCGCGGGTTAACTCATTCATGCACACCCCACTTTTGTTGATTTTATCCTGTGCAGGTTTGTAACCAATCATTGTTCTATCACATCATCATTTAGTTTCAGGATGATCAGAATGTCAGTGTTTTTTTTAATTTCCACATAACTTATCATACCAGACGGTACATGGAATGCTACATGTCATCAACATTTTCCATAAGGTTTGGTGTAGAGCAAGGCAAACCCACTCCACAAAATCTTATTCTCTTTAGAGAAGTGGACATGGATGTACATGTAGGCGAAAGTCTGTAAAGAGAATCCACAAAATCTGTGAAAAAAAGAAAAAAAAATCTCCTAGAAATTCTATTGATCACTGATTATCCTTAAATTAAATTAATTTTTTGAGAGTTATAATTGTTCTTTAAATATTTCGTCAATGGGACATCTAGCATCTCAAGTTGTTTAAAATAGGCTAGCTGATCTAAACGGCAGTTTACGATGTATATTTATTTATGTAAATTTTCAATTCAGCATAGATCTGAAATTGATCATTGTTTAAATACATGTATCAGCAGATAATAAATTGTGTCATTATTTTTTAAACAAATAATAAGATAATTGAGTACTTACCATAAAATATAGCAGACAGCTTTCAAGAGATGTCACGTCATGGTCAGCTGATGTCTGTATTTAAAACGTTCCATCGACTCCACAGCTTAAAGTTATAACCCCCAAAGTAGTAAACCGAGATCATTTCGTCGAAGGAAGCTTAGAGAAGTGATTGATCATTGCTCTAAGTTTTTGTTTTTCCCTTAGAAGAATGCAACATTTCATGATGCGACAACACTCATTTCATTACAGGAAGTTTGTTTCTAAACATCCCGGTGAGGGCGCTGCAATCGCAAGGAGATCGCTATTATGACGTCATAAGTCGGCGATCCCTTTGCTTCAGGTCTATGATTTACATAAGGTAGTACTGAATGAAAGGAGGCCTCATGTATAATAAGTGTATTGTAAGACCATTGTCCTGATGACTGTCCTTTGTCTTTGGGTAGTTCAGTTATCAATCTCGTTCATGTCATAATGTTATACAACTTGAAAAAAACATCGGGTAAAATCCAAGTGCATTTAGCTAAAAATCATATCTTAATGTAGATCTTATTATTTTCTTTTTATTGTCTTTGTGATCTGTTAACTACTGCTTATGATTTCTTGTTGACAGAGAGGATGACATAGAAAAACATACGACAGACAGACTGACACACGTAACACTACACCCCCTTTCAACTTTATTTGTCATAACATGGTTTATAATAAAAAATACAAATTCATCAATAAATAACAACTTTGTAACTGTTTAAAGGTTCAAGCCTGACTTCCCCGGAACCTATTTTTGGCACTCCCATTCCGGGCTTCAGAGAATGGACGGAGTTTTTGGAGCTCTTGTGATCCGTCAGTCGGATATCACCGAGCCTCATCTGGAACTTTATGATCATGATTTACCGGAACATACTATAATGATAAACGATTGGTTGGCGGAATTGGCTATCAATCGATTCGCCAAATATATCCATGCATTTGGCGACAGCACTCCCGCTTCAATGCTCATTAATGGTACGATAATAAAATAAAATGTCTTATTTGTACTGCAATAAAACGAACATAATTGAAAAATCCAGCATGATAAAAAAATCATGTATAATTTTCTAATGCGTCACTGTTTGAAATGAATATTGCGAGGGGAAAAATGACAAATTAATTTTTAACCTATAATTGTTATATTTTTATAATAATTTAATAGAGTAATTGTTTTAATTTCATTGATTCAAAACAACGTAAATTTTGGTATTCCTGATTAACAGATTCCAGTATGATAAAGAAATGATGTAATTTTCTAATGTCTTACTGTTTGATTGATTTTTCTTTCACCAACGTAAAAATATTCAGTATTCATTATTCAGGAAAAGGAACATTCCAGGCATTTACAAATGTAGATAATACCACACTTTACACACCCCGTGAGATGCTGTCTGTTGAGCAAGGAAAACGCTACAGGATCCGTCTAATTAGCAATGGTTTATTGGAATGTCCCATCCAGTTCTCTATAGACAATCATAGCCTCATCATCATAGCTACTGACGGTTTTCCCGTGCAGCCTATCACAGTACAATCACTTACCGTGTTTGCTGGTGAACGATATGATATTGTACTCCATGCAACACAGTCTGTTGACAACTATTGGATTCGGACTCGCGGTGAAGCACTCTGTGTTTTTAAAAAGGTGCACCAAGAGGCTATCCTTCATTATCAAGGAGCTGAGGGAAACCTTCCAGACTTATCTACTGGGTATGACACAGAGATTCGCTCAGGAAAGGTACATAATAGAAAAACAGATAATATTACAAAAATTTCAAATATTTTGTAAAATTTTCTCCTCAATATATCGTATAAGTGGTATTTTTAGCTATTTGTCCTTAAAATCAGTATTTAATTTTAGAGAAAAGTAATTTTAGCGGTTTTATGATGCATGGCAAAAGTAACGGTAACCTTTGTCTGCGGAGTGAATTGTTAGCGATATTTCGTTTAATTAACGATCTCAACTCTCTCGCTAAAAATGCCGAAAATGAATCCTCGCTAAAATTTCTGGTTATACGGTACTCTGCTTACCAAGGCTAGATTTTGAATTTTTTCTATTTAATTGCAAAAATAAAGTTTACGGATTGCATTTTTGTGAACTGATTTTATAGAAACTAAATCCATGGGACAAAGCGGAAAGTGAGAATCTGATTCCAGTAACCAGACTTGTATCACTTCATGAAAACGATAAGGCTCTATCAGAAACTCCGGATAAAACAGTGTACATGTCCATGGATTTTAACAAGATTGACAACTACGATTTCCACGACCCCATGTTGAACCCCAGTTCTGCAGTGGAGAGCTCCTCTCACACATATTTACCCCAGATCAACTATATATCGTCAATGCTACCTCCAGCACCACCTCTCACACAATATAAAGATATCCCTAAGGTGAAATAGAGAGATGCATGTACAATACATTTTAATTTTACTTATTAGACTTTAAATTTGCAAAAGTTCGGAATTTTAGTATCATCAGATTCATTAAAACACTCTTTTAATTGATAAATCTAATTAACGCTTGATTCAATGTTCAAATACACTCAGTCTGGAAAGAGTTCTTTTATACAGGGTATTCACACTTTGGAAAATTATAAATAAATGTATCTTTAATTGTAAACAGGAACTGATATGTGATTCTTTAAATGATGACCATAACTGCTCGTCAGAATTTTGCAAATGTGTCCACATTAAAAAGGTCAATCTAGGCGATGTGGTAGAGTTTGTCATAGTGAACGAAGGTAAAACGTTTGAAGGCAATCATCCCATGCATCTTCATGGCTACAGTTATAGGGTGGTTGGTATGGATAAGGTAAGAGAAATTTATTCAAAGTCTTCATTATGCAATTCAATCTAAATTCTTTGACGCCAGAGAATTTTTGAAAACTTTACTTCTAAAATCTGTATTTTCACATTTTGAATCAAGCTTGTTTCAATTTACATTGTAAAGTAATACGTTACGATCACTTCTAGAACTGAATTACATTGTCGTTAATATACTGTAGATTATTTTTTATTAGCGAAATTACATGAGACTTACGTCTTGCAGAGATTTCATTTACAAATATACTGGTGTATATTTGTATTAGCAAATGTTATAATGATAAAAACCACCTTTTTTGCTTTTTAATATCATATAGCCAATTTGCCGAAAGATTGATTGATTATATGTTGTTTCACGTCCCATTCGAGAATTTTTCACTCATGTAGAGACGTCACCATATACCGATGAAGGGCTTCAAATTTTATTTTGACCTTAACTCGGCACTCAGGGCCATTAAGCAAAGAGGGATCTTTATCGTGCCAACGCCTGCCGTGACACGGGGCCTCGGTTTTTAAGTTCTCATCCGAAGAACCGACAACTTTCACTTCAAAGTGCCGAGCGCATGGTGAAGGAACAGTTGCTACCTATTTTTCTTATCGACTCAGTCACGACCGAGATTCGAACTCACGACCTTCCGATCACGGAGCGAGCGCTCTACCGACTGAGTTACCCGAAAGAAGTTTCTGCGAAAAGTTGAAAAATTTCCATAATTTTTTGTCAATAAAATATGGAGATAACGAACAGTAATCAAGCTCAAAAATCCATTGGAACAATAAAAATCGGAAGCAGAACAAAAATGGTACTTTAAAACATCAGAAGTGGGATAATGTGCAATGAAGGAGTAAGCATCCCCTGTCGACCGGCCACAACTGTCGTGTGCTCCTTGTCATGATCGGTCAAAAGGAAAAATTCATAGACAATTCAGTGTGTTAATAATGGCTTAACAATTAGTATGCAGGTGGTTATGGTATATTGTTACATAGATAAGGGAAGTTAACGATAGAAAAGCTGAAGTCATCTCGTTTATCATAAAGTTTTGTTGTTAGGTTACTATTAGCGCCTTTTTCTAGTAAAATAATCAAATATGATATACCCCATCAACCAATTACAATTATGATTATACCTGTTGAATGGAAACTGAAGTTTGATTTAATTTATGTTGTTGAGATCAAAATGAATCTTTTGCTTTACTTTTTACAAAGAAAAGAAAAACCAAGCAATTTAGTGCAAGAGTACTGACATTTATTACATGTATTTTGTAGCGTCCAAAAATTAAGCTTTTCCATTCCCGGGAGCTTAAATTACATTTAATTTCGTTGACTACGAAAACATTGTGCTTGAACCAATGGATCGAAAAAATGTACATAGAAAAAAATAAATACGCGTAGTTTGAATAGGGGGAGAAGTGTGGAAATATTTATATATAAATTGCAACAATGTATACAGTTTTCAACAAGATAAAATAAACAAATAATAATAATATAGATGATTATTTATAAAGTATAACACAACTACTATGTAATACAACAAAATAACCACAGTGAATCATATTGAATGAAAGCATCCAATAATATAATAAAAATAGATTCTTATTTGTATAGCTTGTGACCCTTGATACACGTAAGATAAGAGTTAAGATAAGGGTGTCGAATTTTCCGGGAATATATGAAAAATCATAAAAGATGTTATAATGAAGTAGTCATCCCAATGTATTTAAGATTGAGTTCTTAAATAGTGATCCCTGGAACTGTGTTGGAGGAACAACAAAGGTTAAATTTTAGCTAGAAATATTTTTTTAAAAAAATACTTTTAAAGATCAAATCTTTAATATGAAATATATGGAGATAACGAACAGTATTCAGGCTCAAAAGTCCATTGTACAATACAAAATAGGAGCAGAGCAAACACCGACCTCCAAACATCAGAGGTGGGATCAGGTGCCATGGAGTGAGCATCCCCTGCCGACCGGTCACACCCGCCGTGTGCTCCTTGTCATGATCGGGAAATAACGGAAAAATCCGTCGACAATTCAGTGTGTAAATAATGGCCTAACAATTAGTATGAAAAACGTCAGTCAGCATTTGACTCAATGATAAATTGTATTTGCTGACAAGGTCATTGTATCGACCATAGAACTTACGAAATGATGACTTTAAACGAGACAGCTGATATCTTTGTTTCATCAACTTATTTGTCAATAATTTACCTCGTTTTAGAAATTGTACATACGTAGAACATGCTCTTGCATATCGAATCAACTGAGAGATATATACCCTGTATGCAGGTGATGAAGGTATATTGCTGCATAAGTAAGGGAAGTTGACGATTGAAAAGTTAAAGTCATCACGTTTATCATAAAGCTTGGTTGTTAGATTACCATTAACGTCTTTTTCAAGTAAAATATCCAAATATGAAACAGATGTGTCTTACAAACAAAGACAATGTTGTTACCTGCTTTGTCAGCAGGGACCAGTACGTACTGATCATGTAATCTATCTAATTCTTTTTTCACTTCTGGATTATTGAATACAGAAGGAATATCTCATAAATTTTCAAGCACTTGCTTAATTCAAGTTTGTGATATACCAGGCCCCTTGGCTTAAGATGAGGTCAAAGTACGCATAACATTTTTACTTAACACAAAATAATGTATATAAAATAATATATAATATATAAAAAATAATATGCCATAATAATAAAACGTCATTCAGGCATCAACACACTTATATTATTGCTTAATGATTATTGAAAGCATGGATTTTTAGGATATTTTTTATAATAGTGCAACAACACCTCTGTTTTTTTTCTAGACATTTATTTGCCAAATAAATATCATGTGAGCACAACGACGGCCAATAAATTTCTCTTTTTTTCACATTTATACACAGCTTAAACGATCTACTACCCTCCAAGAGGTAAAGAAGTTGAATGAAGCAGGGAACATTTCCAGAAATCTAAATATGTCGGTTAAAAAGGACACAGTAACTGTGCCAAATGGTGGATATACCATTCTCCGAATACATGCCACCAATCCAGGTAGGATAGTTTGGTCAATGTAGAACTCATCTGAGTAAATTAACTCAGATTCACGTGTACTTATCAATAAAGGTAGGAAAATATGGTATAACTTATTCACATCACCAATCTTTGTACGCGTGCACTGTACCAATTCGGAAAGGATAATTCAGATTCATGTATAACACATATACAAACATTAAACAATGCAAGTGCAACAAGTACAATAATTCATGTTTATGTATAATAGTGCCATGCCAATACTATTAATGTACAATATCGCGGCATATTAGTATTTACTAACTTTTGTCCCAACACGTATTTGGCATTCAGATCTCTGAAAGCGAGTTTTTGATGAGTGTTTTGACAAATAAATTGTTCGATATTCTTTGTTAATTTGTTTGTTTGTTTGTTTGGTTTTTGTTTGCTTAGGCAAAAATGTTTATAAATTTACATATAAAATAAGTTTCATACCTATCGCCTCATAAGAAATATTTCTACTACTATATATCCTATTTTGCATAAGGTTTTTGGTTTTTCCATTGCCATATTGATTTCCATGTCGAGGAGGGAATGGGTATTATACTACAAGTTGGAGAAATTAGCCAGATGCCAAAACCACCATATAACTTTCCTAGATGTGGGAACTGGAAGTATACGACTCATGTTAAGGAAGAGACAGGATGTCCAGTTAACAGTGCGAATAGTCTACATTATGCACCAATGGCTTTATTGATCTTTATCTATGTAATCCTGTTATTGAAAGACATGTAAAAGCAATTCATGTTTGTCTTGCCCCTTTGATTTAATGCACTATCTAACATTGAGGATAGTACTGAGCATTTACATTAGATTAGATAATACTTACATCTTCTAAACGCTGTACATTTACAGAAAATAAACTTCACTATCAATTACTAAATAAACAAAAGCTTTAATACTTTTACACACAAATATTTGTACACATTATTTTATTATGTGCATCATCATACTTGCTCTAAGCATCCGTCACTCTACTGCACTCAACAATACAAAGATAGTTTCGATTCAACACCATACACTGCACGTTTTACACCATACTTCATACACCGAGACCTCAGGAATCTATGTCTGCGATATTATTAAGAGCAACTTAAGTTTAATTCCGAATTCACTAAAGAAATTGCTAGACAGTAAAAAATGTAAGTGTTGTAAGGAAGCCTGTTAGAAGAATGAAAGCCTAAACTCAGATAAATAAGTACAGGTAGTGGAAAGGTACCATGAAGGGTATTCGAATGGAAGTTCCAGTATAGGGTAACTGTCAAGATACTATGTAAGAAAGTTAACATATGGTAAATGTAAAAATACTATGCAAGACAAATGAATAGTAAAGCACCGTAAATGTGACAATAGCACATTTAATTTTCTACTCAAAAAGGTATAGCTTTTGTTTTACATGAAAATTCAGACTATGTGAAAAAAATTACAAATTTAACGAGGAACGTAAATCACAATTCACATCACTTCTTTACCTGAAACATTTCAAACTTTTAAAAATAGTTTTTTATTTAAATTACGATTTACTTTAAAATTTAATAATTTCATTACATTATAAAACATTCTTGTAGAAGCTGTCAATAATATTATTAATTAAACACTTTCGCGATCCTTTCAAGGCTGCTATTCGCTCTGGAGCAAATACACTGTATATATTGTCAAGATATTGTAGTTTTATGCTAATCAACAAGTAGCGATTTTATTGTAAAAGATTAAATTACATTGAAGTATAATTAATACTTTTGTTCTACTCTGTACCTGGTGAATTTTACATGCATATTTTTGTATGTTTATCTATGTATCCTAGTAAATCTCTGGTCCCTATAATTTTGTTATTCTTTTACATCTCGATAGATTCAGATCAAGATTTATTATGGATATGCAACAATATGCGACAATATTGTTTTGGGTTAAATTAAAGAGCCTAGCAGATTACTCCATCACAGCAACGCTGAAAGCTATTCATGTTGTCATATGTTTTAATTTTACAACAGCTTGTGTGAGCGAAGACTCAATGACAGCATCGATGAAAGCAAAAGTCGTAGTTCCCTAAATTTCCGTACAGAAAATAAATTAAGTTTGTTTTCAGTACGATGAGACTTCTAAAAGCATAATAGGTAGGTTCAGGTGCCATGGAGGAGTAAGCATCCCATGTCGAGCGGTCACACAATCCGTGTTCTCCTTGACATGATCATGCAAACGGAAAAATTCGTAGACAATACAGCATTCCCACGATAAATTAAAATTCCGAAGACCAGGCTTTTTGACATCATAGAGAGATACTTTTTCAACAGAAATTGCACTCGTAAATTTACTTACCTTGTCATTGGTCATTTGGAAAATTATTTTATTAAAAAACATTCTGATCTTACACACAAGTACTCCAAAGTTGATATTTAAAGAGATGCTTGAGGTTTTGATTGACAATATCTAAATATAGTTCTTGTAGATTAATTTTTCGAAAAATCTGTTGAAATACACATGGGTGCTAATTGCGCTCCGTTATTAGCAGACCTCGCAGCTAGGTTAAGGACGCCCATGCAATACACGCCTTAATGTATTAAGTGAAAATGAATATAATTTAAAATTTTTTTAACAACATTAGTTTTGATGAATGTGCATTTTGGTGTTTGCACTTGTATATATCGGGTTTCTGTTGATTTCGGCCAAAGCGACACCGCTTACATCAGCTGTTTGTCACGTGACAGGTTTAAAATTAGAATATATATGTATTACTACAAAGATTAAATAATCGATATAAAATATACAAGTATCTTTCTGCTATAAAATTTATTCTGGTTTGTTTGAGACAAATTCCTTAACATGAAAAGTGCTGGGAACAACTTCCTTGTGCTCAGGTATTGTGTAAAATTTAGCCGTCTTTCTAAAAACTCTAGATATAGATGTAATACTCACTGGAATAATGTTACATTGCGGAATATACAAACAATATATAAACAACGCACAACCAGCTCCCAGCACTTTTCAGAACAGTAGAAATAAAAGCTAAACGTGTTTAAAAATTCAGAATTTATATTGAAGCGGATATCGTTGAACTCTTGATATTTTGGAGGGGCTGGACCCCTCATTCTAGCCCGTTACTATACAAATGTTCTCCCTACGGCTATATATAAAGGCTACACATTTTCAATTTAGTTTGAAAATAAAATGTGATTTAATATATTTTAGAATATGTCTTTATTTTGGTTCAATTAATCTTGTTTCGTATTTGTTTTTATTTTTACAAACTACGATAATAGCTTGATCCATGCCTCAAGTACAGAGAAACTCTTGTCAAACTAAGAAATTTACGTCATCTCAGTAAGTACAGCGAAATCAAGCTGGCTTTCATTTTACATACGATGTGTTATTTTGGCAAGATAAGTTGCACATTCATTTATCTTTTTAATATTTTTGAGAAACGAAAGTATTTAAGTGTGTTTTAAAAAGAACATAGAGTACATGTATTCATTCATCGAGATTCATTTGTATTGTTTTAACGTGACGTCATAATAGCTTTCTCGAACCACTGCATAAGCTGACGTAAATATGGGAGTCCTTAAACTAGCTGCATGTTTTTTTTTAATTCATATGAAGCAAAATTTATTCACAAGCTTCTGTATGAGAAAAAGGTATCTTGCTGTGGCCTTCAATTAAACATTAATATATATATATATATATATATATATATATATATATATATATATATATATATATATATATATATATATATATATATATATATATATATATACCAATATTCATTTTTACTCATGCGTTAATTCGATATACCTTATAAACTCGAAATTGAAGAAATCCCAGAGTCTGTAATTGAACTGTATTATATTTGGATATTTTACGAAATAAAATCCCATAAACCCATAGTTTTTCTTCAAACAATTTGAACCCACGAAAATGTTTGGTTTTACAGTGAGTTGACGTTTCTGGGATTTCAACAACCTCGTTTAAAGTCAGCATTTCGTAATAATTACAAAAATCATAATTTCCCACCTCTTGTTTTTCTGAGGGTCTGTTTTTGTTTTTGCACTGTTCATAGATTTGTATTGTTTGTAGCCTTTTTTTCAGGTCGATCACTGTTTGTTATCTTCACCTTTGTAATCACTATTTATACTGTAAAAAATTGATTCTGGCAATGGGTTAACTTAAATGCAAAGAATGATGCTTTCTATGAATACAAGTGTGGAATTTAAATGTAAAGTTTGAACAAAAGTGTTCCAGTAGATATGCCTATGTGACAAGCCCATGTGATTTATACACCAATAACACCTACAGAAATAAAACATTCCTCAATTGAAACAGTTGTAAAATTATTAATCAACCCTGATTATCTAATAAAAAATCACCGAAACTGTGAGTCAACCTTTTTCCAGTGACATATTATGTCTCCTGTATTTTACACGTGTTGTAATTTGAAATTCTAAACTTGTAATTAGATCGCTGTTATATATACCATGCTTTTATGAATAAATTTAGTTGATAGCAAGATTTTCGAGGTATAACCTTGCTGCCTTTCATAAAAGTTGAATAAACTTGTATTTCATCTTTCATCGTTAACCTTTTTGAAGAAAAATGGCAAGAATCCACATTTTTCTCGCCTTTTCTCTGATGTTTGTTCTTCAAGCCTCGTGCAAAGATTGCAAAACTCAATCGTGCTTAAGGAAGCTGTATAATTCTAGAGTTACCAGGGCAGAATACTGGATAAGGTAAGCTCATTTCACGTAATTCTTTCAAATGTCATTCTTGGTGCGTTTAAAATAGGTTTATGCCCTTAAATACCAAATGGTGTAATAAGTTTATTACTTTAAATCGAAAACTCTACTGCATCTGCGATCTTGAATGCTATTGCCTTACAGGGTACGAATTATTGCAGATTCCCTATTAATCAAACAAACAACAGATATTATTTTGCTTGTTTAATGTGGCGCTTCTGGCCGCGGTGATCAATTTGCTGGGGCTACCACAGGGCTGCCCCACAATCAACAATCAATACAACAAATGTGACGACCCAAATCGGGCGGATCATGCACTGGGTAGGTCACAAGTGCATGAACGTCACCAATTCAATTATAAATCAAGTTCAATCAATAAATCAATAATCAATCAAGTTCAATCAATCAATCATCATTCAATCAATCAATTCAATATCAATCAAGTCAACTGCTTGTCAATTACAAGCCAATGCACAAATTCAAATCCTGAATTTCAATTTACATGTGCAATAGGATAAACAATGGAATGAGCGTAAGAATATGTGTTGCACTCCTCCAGTTGCGTTGAGGTGCGACGGAATACGCAAACACACAGAATTACCACCGCGACATCGGTTGAAGTGGACGCTGTATCAAGCAGGCAGTCATCACGGATTACGTAAACACACAGAATTCACCACCTTGACATAGGCTGATGTGGACGCTGGACCAATCAGGCTGTATTTACGGAATGAGCAAACACACAAAATTCACCATCGACACATAGGCTGGTGTAGGTGCTGGACCAAGCAAGCCGTCCCTACGTACATATAATATCCGAACACACATAATCCACCACCGCGACATAGGCTGTTGTGGAAGCTTGGCGAAGCAGGCAGTCTTCAGCTACAACGACATAACAAAAAGCAGCAGTATTTGTTCTAAAAACAAGAGGAGGGTGGGTGGGTAAAATTTAAAACATTGCCACAATTTAACTCCCAAAAATTTTCCATGACCTTACCGTTTAATCGATTCTTCTAGAAAGGAGGTAGAAAAGAACTCATTATTAGACTATATACAAATGGACCTAAATTATCCGGAATGATAGCTTGTGACTAAGGGTGAAAATTTATATTTATCCGAATGTACGTAACTTATCCGGAATAGATAAACATTACTAGGGTTACTGAAATAAACTCACTTATCCGAGACCAGGCTCGTATAAGTGGTATTATTGCAGATTCCCTATTAATCAAACAAACAACAGATATTATTTTGCTTGTTTAATGTGGCGCTTCTGGCCGCGGTGATCAATTTGCTGGGGCTACCACAGGGCTGCCCCACAATCAACAATCAATACAACAAATGTGACGACCCAAATCGGGCGGATCATGCACTGGGTAGGTCACAAGTGCATGAACGTCACCAATTCAATTATAAATCAAGTTCAATCAATAAATCAATAATCAATCAAGTTCAATCAATCAATCATCATTCAATCAATCAATTCAATATCAATCAAGTCAACTGCTTGTCAATTACAAGCCAATGCACAAATTCAAATCCTGAATTTCAATTTACATGTGCAATAGGATAAACAATGGAATGAGCGTAAGAATATGTGTTGCACTCCTCCAGTTGCGTTGAGGTGCGACGGAATACGCCACTTGCAAGGGCCATGAATACTCGTGTCTACCACGAGTAAGAATGGAACTGCAACCGCCACCAATGGGGGTGCCAAGAACCATGGTGACGGCGGCAGTACCTCAACGCAAATGGTCACCGTCGACCAGGGCCTGCTCATTCATCAATACAACTTATAAAACAAGTGACTTATTAGTCAATTACTTTTCAATGCATTAAAGCAAAATATGAATTTAAATCGTCAACGGTCATTCACCTATTCCGTTATATGTGTTGAAATGCAATTATTGACTTGTGAGAATAAAATAACTCCCCGTTTAATCTAAAATTGTGGATCCATACCTGCACTCTATTCCCTGTCCCGTTGGTTTATTTTATCGTACTACTTACCTACTAGGTTGTTACTCCTGTTACGCATTTTTATGGCTTTTATAAAAATTTAAACTATCTTTGCAAGTATTGGTTATAGTTGTACTAAAAAGTGTGGAGTGTATCAGACCCAAATTGAACAAAAACGAGATATTTACGTCATCTCTCAACTTAGAATACTTTTAAAAACAATATTTGTGTACTTAACCCCCCCCCCCTTCTCATTTCCCTAGCTGCATAAATCATATTTCCTCTTCACAATTTATCAAACAACTATAATCCATAGTAAAATTAAATAAATAAATAAATAAATAAATCATTGAAATGAAAGAAAGTAAAAATATGTGAGCCTTGTAACAACTACTTAATGGATGCCTAAACATGTACATTTCATAGCCAGCGTTTCAAAGCTAAAATAACCCCCCTGCATGTTGGTGGCAAATGTGCTTTAGCGGTTGCTCCCCAATTGTAGTGAATGAGATTTAAATTTTGTATTCTACAAATAATAAAACATATGGGCATGATATGCCGTATCCAATACTGACTAAACCTGCTCGACGTTTCCCTGAAAAAAGGATAAACACCTTTTATGACTGGTCATGGAAGTACTTGCAACTACATTCGAATCGTTAAACTGTTTTAATTAAAAATAACTGCCAAGGCTTATTAATTTAATCATTACCTATTAAGTGTTTTAAAGTACGACTAATTTTAGTTTTATATAACCTCATGCCACAAGGGTAGTTTAACCTATTTCAAACAAAAGGAAGAATACTTTATATCGCTATTACTTAACGTAATGAAACTCTTTTGCGTTGAAGGTAGGAAACGTTGATTAATAGCTGAGGACAATGTGCTATAGCTATTGACTACACTATGAGATCGATCACTGCAGATTTTTAAGGGACATATAATATAAGAAAGAAGCCCTGGTGAAATACCCAGCTAAATGTTCGTTGCACCACGCTATGAAATTAAAATGCTAGCTCTCTTGTGTTAATTTTTTGTGGATATTTCCCGCTAAGTAGACTATTCTAATAATAAGTTTAATCATTTTCTTTCTGATAAACGTTATTTTGGAAGTCTAAATATTCCGAATACTTTGACTTGCTTTCTGAAGTGCAACCATCGGCATTACATTGTACCTTCGGCATACTTATTGTTCGTATCATTCAATTGTCACTAGCGTAAACAATATATGTAAACAACATGTTATGCCCCGAAAATGAATGGAGATTTATAAGTTTCTTGACTTTATTGCAAAACAGCCGCAGTAAGTTATACAATTCGAGGTAATTGCGATACTAAGTGTTCTGAGTATTCAAAAAATATCTGTAAGGGAGTAGTTTTATCTCTGGGAAATTTAGGTATAATCGTGGACCATTGTGTATTACACCAATTATACATGTATTTGGTAAAAATTAAACAGAATGATAAAATTAGTCTCAAGGCTTAAATCCCCATTAGACACTGACATAGGTGTGCAATAAAATAGATAAACACAATAAAATATCCGAGAAAACAAATTCTTGAGTACGCTGCAACTCTTTGTCCATGGGTATGTGCGGTGGAAAAAAAACTGGTATACTTTATAAGGCATACTTCTGGACATATCTTGGATATCCCTTACCAGATTAGCTTAAAATTGAATGTCAGTGTACCTTAAATAAATGGATCAATATTGTTTTGACAACACATAATTAACTCCTTGGTTTTGACTTTTCTTATGTACTAGTAAATTCAATATTGCAATTTCATATCAACCTATTAAATCTTTAAATAATAATAATAATTGATTCATATATAATTTAACTGATTATTTGACAAGCTTTGTTTCCCCGTCTCGTCGAACACATTAGCAGACTATCCATTCAAAGATAGCCTGATAAGCAACATACGGAGCAAGTACTGGGTGCTGCTTATCCTAGTGAGACTCCTGACCAATCACTTTTATAAATCTGCCTATCACAGTGCTCTAATAGCTTAACTAAATATCAGAACAAGTCCATCCGACGGAGACGAGAAACCAATTTGATTTTGACCATCTTTTTTAAAAAAAAAATTACATTGTACCAGTTTATTTGAAATATGCCCCCCCCCCCCACTTCACACAAAGACTCGCTTAACCAAATTATACTTTTCCCTAGAATGTAATCTAATAGCTGCGATTAATTGAAGCTGGATTAGGATCTATATCATTTGCCAATTCCACTTTTATATCTAGTATTAACACAACTGCAACATTTCCTACTTGTTTCTTTTTTGCAAATCTTTAATTACTATTTTAATGAATTACTGGGGAAGTGATAAGGTCATGCTTTGATGGAAAGGAATGTTGTGCCCATTGCAGCTGTTGACTCACTGATAAAGCTGTCTTAAAAAAATAAAATTAAAAATGTTGACCTGTTTTTGGTAATGTACCTGAAAATAAATAATCATGGTAACATACATCTGTAATCACTATCAATTACTTAAGGTTTTTTATGTACTTACTGCCTTTTGTACCAATATAATTTGCTCCTTGCTTGTGCCTGAACCCTGCAAATTTGCCTATCTATTCTAATGCATATGAAAAATACTTTTCCACAGCTTTGCTGCAGTTTGACTGCTCACTGTGAGACAAATGCTTGCAAAATTAATAAGAAATGTTTTCATCCTATTTCAATAAACTGTGATTTTGCTTTCATTAGTTGGATTTTTATGCAGAAATTGACCATGTGGACCAAATGAGCGCCCATATGATGTGTAACATAATATACAAGTTAACTCCCATCCCATTATGTAATAGGAAAATCAGTTCATACAATATCATCCATAAAACCTTACACCTTTTTGTTTTCTTAAAAAAAAAAAAAAAAAAAAAAAAAAAAAAAAAAAAAAAAAAAAAAAAAAAAAAAAAAAAGGAAAAGATAACAAACAGTACTGTTCCAAACCTTTTCAAAAGACCAACAAACAAATGAAATGATACAAGTCTGCAAATAGAGCATAACACTTACACAATTTAATAAACCTCCTCTCAGTACACACAGTACTTTGATTACTTGAAAAGTGAAAGTGCACAAATTCTCGTGAATGCTTTCTCCGATTTAACGACGATTACATTTTGTAAAATGCGAATCAATATACCTCCTTCGAACACGATAAATCTATGTAGAAAACAAACTAAAATCCTTCTAGTAAGCCCAGCTTCTGAGAATATTCCGTGTTTTATGAAATTACCCCCCCCCCCCGTTATAGCTATGATGGACTCGAAGTTTAACATTTCGCTCCTAAAAATAATAACTCAAGTTAAACAATCATTTGACCCCCAAATTGATCTTAATATATTCCTGTTACATGTAAAGTCTCACAAATTACAACATCGCGTAAAATCAATTCAATTTACGAAAAAGTCCAATCAGGCCAAATCCAAAGTCAAACTTCGCCATCGATACGTCTAATTTGCTTTGAAACTACAAACCTCAATAGTTATACTAAAAATCAAACTTATTTGATTTAAAAAATTTAAAACATTGCCACAATTTAACTCCCAAAAATTTTCCATGACCTTACCGTTTAATCGATTCTTCTAGAAAGGAGGTAGAAAAGAACTCATTATTAGACTATATACAAATGGACCTAAATTATCCGGAATGATAGCTTGTGACTAAGGGTGAAAATTTATATTTATCCGAATGTACGTAACTTATCCGGAATAGATAAACATTACTAGGGTTACTGAAATAAACTCACTTATCCGAGACCAGGCTCGTATAAGTGGTAATATTTTTGAAAGAACACCAATATCTTTAATTTCAATAAATGTCATCCGGATATCACTCTTCTCATGTTATGTCAATTTCGTTCTTCTCAGAGGTTAATGTATCAAGATAAGGAATGTAAATTAGCAATGGCCAATACAACATCACAAAAACCTGAGGTATATTCTTGCAGAAGCTTCGCATTGTTATTGAATAGGCGAGTGGTAGTTTATCAGCTGGTTTGCTGTGAGGTCTCCCTTGATGTCTGATTGCGGCATGTGAAAAGAACAAATCAGGACAAAATGAAAATTGTCATATCCCGCTTCCATATCATAGTTTCTTTTTTAAATTCAGACCCTTAAGTGGATCTGGAAGTTCCGGAAGCTCGGGCAAATCAAGCGGAGGCCGTGGTTGGTGGCGTGGGAAACGAAGCTTTGACTATTACTTGCGCCATGCAGGAGTTGTTGTTACTGTCGAGAATGGAGACCGATGGTTGATCCATAAGGGGTCGGATTATGGTGATTCATCTGACACTGTTATTACAGATGCTGGTTACATGTCCGGACAGTAAGAATTTTAAATATTACTTTTTAGCAATGCGTTTTAAAGCCTCTTAACAGTTCTAGAACCCAATGAGTGTCAGTGTTACTGGGATGGAAAACTCCCAAAGGGCACCTGTGACCAAGTATTTTGAAAGGCTTAGGGAGGTTCAAGCGCAATCAAAACTAATGTGTGTCTTAGTTGTATAAAACTAAAATGGCGGGTCTTTATGCCTTATTCCATCAATTTCATTCAAATAGATGATGACCCCTTTGCAGCTAATTCAAAATATTTGCTCACTAAGGCCACAGGGGTGGGATACCATTTTCTATGCATAGTCCTTATCAGAAATTTCACTTTACTTTAATGGTCCATTAAACTTTAAAGCCTTTTTTATATTTTCTTTGGGTGAAAGAAAATATCAAAAGCATAAAAATGAAAAGGGACATCCTCTCATATTTTGATAATACCCTATAACCTAAAAGAAGGAAAAGACTTCTTTTAACGTTTTAACGATTGATAATTTCCTGACCTAGGCTATTAAATCTGTACATGTGCCCTAATTTATTTAAAATTTATTATTATTTATTTCGATATGGGCAGATTGTTTGTTTAAAAACAATCATAAACCAACTTAATTTGGTCATTTCACATACTTCATTGCCTAAATGAAGATCATCAAATTTGTCTTTTAAAACAGTGCCAGAAACTTAAAGTTGTTTAATATTTAACAGATGGAGTCAGCTGAAATCCCGGTCGCTTGGTAGCTGTAGTTACACCGTGAACACGTTCATGCAGAATGCACTGATATCAAAGCCCTACAAATTGATTGGGGCTAACTGCCAGACAGCAGCAAACAAAATGTGGGAGCTAGTGAAGAGGTGTTAAAATAGAAATAGTAAACCTGGAAGCATTCTCACCTTGAATGTACCTGTAGTAACAAGAATATTCAATAAAATTTGCAGAGTTCATTTGAAGTTTGTTTATCTTTATTTTGGGTGTGACTCATAGTAGAGTTTCAAAGGTATCGTTAATTGTATTGTGAAAGTTTGGTTAAAAATGAGACCATCTGACATCATAATAACGTTACAATTACATTTTTTTATACTTAGACAGTAAGTTGAAAAGTGAATCAAAGAATGTCTCACGATTTTGTATCACTAACAGGATATTCGTGAATCAAATGGTTCAATTAAATAAATATGTGTGATGTGGTGGTGAAATATATAAAGTGAGACAGGGAAAAAAACTAAGCGTCATTAAATGTAAAATGAGACGACAACGAACAGTGATCAATCTCAATAACCAAGTGAAGAATACGAATTTGAATAGAACAAAAACACGGACACTTGGAAACACAAGAGATGGGATCAGGTTCCTAAGATAAGTAAGCATCCCTTGTCGACAAGTCACACCCACCGTACATCCATCTGTATCTAAATGGAGAAACCCGTTATCACGGTATAAAAACATAAGTATTGAAAAGTACACTGCATCATTATTTTTTGAATACCAATTTTCGTGGGTTTTCTTGTTAAGGCGATGCACGAAATCAACTTCTCATCAAAATTTGTTGCCTCCATAATGATTTATAATAATAATAAAAAAAACCTATTTTAGCATAATATTATTTGTAAACAATGAACAAAAAAAAAAAAGAATAAACCGTGATCTGACATAATATTTATTGTGAAATACTTAATTATGGTAGATAACATTCTACAAGGAGATTAAGAAACTACAAATAGATCTAACATCGCGAAAATTCCAATTGTATTATCCCAATTACGTAAAATTGTCTTCTTACAGTCAAATATTCTTACGGTCAAACACCAAGTAATTGTATTTCCTTCTCTATGCAAACAAACTATCTGTATTTTGAAATAAAAATTCGAGTAGAAAATTTCAAATTACTTTCTTGTTGCAACAAACCTAAATTATATAATGAAATATGAAGATAACGAATAGTATTCAATCTCGAAAGTCCAATGAAACGATACAAATTTGGAGTAGAGCAAACACGGACCTGAAAAGTTTAGAGGTGGGATCAGGTGCCATGGAGGAGTGAGCATCCCCTGACACACCCGCCGTGTGCTCCTTGTCATGATCGGGGAAAAACCCGGAAAAATCCGTAGACAGTTCAGTGTATAAATAATGGCCTAACAATGTCAGTCAACATTTGACTTTATGATAGATGATAAATGATTACCAGATTTTTCAGTGCTCCTTTAGTTTTACTTTTATTGACGTATGTTTTTAACATACTGACCATGATTTAACAGCTATATGTATATTACATATGTCCTGCAATTTCGAAGCCCTGGACATTTGAGGTTGTTTGTTGTCTATTTTAGCGTGCAATCGTATCCAGCGAGCCTGTATGTCAAACGAAATGTCTTCAGCTAGCTTTCTGTTGTCAACTTTCCCTATTTATGTAGTAATATTTCGCCTTCACCTGGACGACACTCAAGAGCATGCTCTGAGTACGATCAATTTTTAAACCGAGGCAAGTTACTGTCACGTAGGTTGATGTTACAGAGATTTCATTGTTTAAATTCAGTATTTCGTATATTGTATGGTCATTATAATGACTTTGTTAGCAAGTATAACTTCACATTGAGTCGTATTTTGACTAAGATATTTTTTGCTTGGCCTTTGTTTTTATACTAAATTTGACTACGAATATTGCTTCTACCTGATGAATACATTGAATCACGGGGCAAGTCATAAAGGGACTGCTTCATAGGATCACAAAGGTCAGTATTTAATAAAATATTTCAAATTTAGAATTTTCATGCCTAGTATGTTATTTATGCAAACTTTATATGATAACGCTGAAATATGCTTGCAGATAGTTTTGTATGATTTCTCTGAAAGATCCACTTAACACAGAGTCATTCTCAAAAGGTGATATTTTTATGCGCATTCAGGAATATAAAAAGCTACATATTATCGCAATGCTTGTATACCAATCATCATGCATCCGCATTATTAGCTAAGTAAATAAGCACCATGCATTTAATGAAAAGAACATGTACATAGCAAACTCGCAAAACATGTACGATTTATTATATATTCATCACATCAAATTTTGATCACGGGTCAAAATATGATATACAAAAATTTAATTATTTAAGGAACTGAAATAAATAAGGGTACCTATGCATATAGGTGAATTCATCATGTATCGGACACCCTTGTACTTTAACACGTGCTAGAAATATTGCAATTGAACGAACATTAATGGAGTTATATATGTACTATGTGATTTAAATATGAGTCATGTGTTATGTAATTAAAATATGATTTTTTGACAAAAATTATGTGCTATTTGTCGCAAAAATATTATCAATTAAATTATTTATTTGGAATGAGCCATAGTAGTCTAGTCCACACTTCGCAAAAGTTGTGTCTCAGAGAGAAAGAAATGCCATTTCTTCTTTTTATGCTACCAAACATTTGGTCCTGCTCCAATAAATCCGCTGTTTTTATTTTTCGATGTGTGGTAGTCCCATCTTGGTGCAATTTGTATACATATGCGTAGATTTTTTTCAAGTAAAATAACAAAGTTACAGACTAGAAAACTACAAACGCTACCAAATATTGCGACCAAAGGGCATAACTTCTGAAAAGTGTGGATTTAACCATTCACCAAGGATCGGACAATATTCACCATGTATCGGACAACCGAAGTATTGAACCGGGAAAATGTCTTAGCGTTATAGCACTGACCTTTAACACCCGAAATGCTTATTGATTTTCGATGAAAATATTCTTAGGCATCATTAAAATTTACTCTTTTTTTAAGTGAATGATCATATTGAATTACAAATGTGGAGAAATTTGTCTGTCCCTCTCTTCACATACGACTACTACGTCTTGGTCTCGGGGGTTATAACCTTCCAATTCTACGAGAGATCCCAATTCTAGTGATCACATACCAATAAGTTGTATTTTCATTTAATGTGTTGTTCATATTTTTTTATTTCTGGAAAACAACTTTCAATAGAGTATTACACATGTTCGCTAAATGAAAAAGGAAATAAATGATCATGCATCGGACAGTGCCGATGTATGGTTAATTTGTGTCTGATGCATGATGAAATGGACACACTAGTAAAACAAGATGTGTTTGTGAAACACTGATGCCCCTGTATGGCATATTATAGAGAAAGTTAAATTTTTTCTTAAATGCAAATCATTTATATTGGTACCCAAAGTAAGGTCTTGTCCCGAGGAATATATCGATGAAATATGAAATTCCAAGCAGCAATCATTGAAAAGATATGGAAAAGGAAGAGTTTTTCAAAAGTAAGTCAAACATCAAGAAAGGCCTTCTCACAAGAAATACACATGTAAAATATGAAAGCCCTAGCACCAACTGTTAAAAAAAAAGGGCAAGGTTAAAGTTTTTTAAAGTAGGTCAAACTCAAAGGTCAAGGTCAAAGGGTTAAAGTTGTCGATATCCAAAGGAAAGTCTTGTCACAAGGATTATATATGTGAAGTATGAAAGCCGTAGCACTAACTGCTCAAAAGTAAGGGCCAAGGTTAATTTTTTCCAAAGGTAGGTCAAACTCCAAGGTCAAGGTCAATGGGCTATAATTGTTGGTATCTAAAGGAAGCTCTTGTCAAAAGGAAAACACATGTGAAAAAGGAAAGCCCTAGCACCAACTCTTCAGAAAAGGAAAAGGTCTACAGAGTCGATCAAAATTACTTGATCACGAAAATAAACCTTAACTAACGTGGCTTATCTTTCTTTGCTTATGACGTTATTAAGAATCACCAAATCTCATAATTTAGATTATAAGATCACATCAAAAAACTAACTCACATTCAAAACATGTCTAGCGAAAAAATATCAATAAGAAAACGGTAAATACACCAATAATTAGAGCAGAAATGTTTAAAATCTTCCTCCACCGAGAGGCTTCCTCTAATGACGTCATCTTCCGTCTTAATTCTTTTATCTCCTCTTTCGTCATTGTGTGTTTAGCATCCTCATCAATTCCACAGACCCAATTCTTACAAAGGATCATAAATCTTCTTAAAACACCTGTAAATGCAAAAACGTTACCTTGAGCTTTATAAAACTTGGTAATTTGAATTTTAAAAATTGCAATGTCTGATAATCGTACAATATTAATCTGTTTATACGCTTCATACGGTCGGTGTTTTGTCCTTATTATGATTTCTATTAAATAAAGGGTTTATGACATTGATTACTGTTTTTTATTTCCACGGTTGTATTCATTTTACATATATTTTTATTTTGTATTCTTGTTTAAGCTTTAAAAAGGATAAAATAATGAGATCAGAATTTGTAAGGTACCTCATTTAACAAGAAAATATCAAGAAATGTTTTCGGTATCAATTTTGAATAAAAAAATGTAAAACAAGTTCGACCATATTATACGTTTTGTAGTTTTATATAGACTTCATTTCACGAGTTGGACAGGATTTTTTTTTCATATTTTCACGAGAACCAAGCAAGAGTAAAAATTTAACAAAATCCGATCTCATGAGTGAAATAAATTCTATTTTTAACAACAAAACCTTAAATTTTCTGTTTATCGAAGTTATTTGATTTTTTTCTTGCCTCTTACTTTTCGTAAAGCAGTGTGATAGGCTGTGACATAATAGTTGAGAGGTTGAGACGTTATAACTAAGCGATTGCAAGAATATATGGGTTTTGACAAAATATGAAGTAACATAAGTAATTTTAGGTTCTCTCAGTTTCTTTTTTCAGCTTGCACTATTTTATAACATGCCGAGGAATCTTTTTGATTTGTAACACTCTTCGTGAAAGGAAGGACCATCTCGAGTTTTGCCGCACGTCTGATATTTGTTTACAGTGTGATAATTTGATATTTCGTGCTTTGATATTTCATCACACTGTGATTATCATTCAATAAATTAATTATATAACATGTCTTTCACAGTTGAAAATGTGAAATATTGATATTTAAACTTGTAAGATTGTTGATAACTTTTACATCTTTTAACCATTTAAATAATTAATGTACATGTGAACTGAAAAACATAGTAATACAGTTTTGTATATCAATACAATAGACTGCTGTTTCTTATTTCGTAAGCAAAGTAATAAAAATGTCAGACTTCATTATTTCTTTATGTTGAAAATTGACTCGTCCGAATATTTTGTTCAAATGCAACACTTCAATATTAAGTCATAGGCTTTGAAGATATGCCACATCTGTTTCATGTTTTAATGTTTTACTGACTAAAGATGATAAGGGCCCACTAAGAACTAAATTGTGTGACAAACAAGATAACTTCATCTATTCCATCAACTTGACTTATTTATGTAGAATGTATTTTGAGGCAAGATGCAATTCGCAAAGCAGTATAGAACCATAGGTTACTGCGGAAAAAATTCGTTTGGATCAATTTGCAAAAGTTCAAATATTCTCATATGGTGTTTATGTCTCCCAGTTTATTCGATACTCATGAGCATGCTCTGAGTATGATCATAACCGAGGCAGGCTACTGAGAGATAAGTTGATGTTAAAAGGATTTCGACAATCTCCTTTAAATTCAGCATTTCGTAAAGTCTATGTTCATTTTAATAACTTTGTCAGCAAATATAATCTATCATTTGGTTGTATTTTTACTGACATATTTCATACAAATATATAGGTCTTTGTTATTTTACTTAAGTTGACCACGTAATATTTCGTCTAGCTAATCAATGCATGCATGTGCATAGGGCTCAAGGATTTCACCAGTCGAAAAGGGGTGCTTACTCCTCTTAGCCACCTGTTCCCACCTCTGAAAGGGGGGAGGGGTCCGTATTTTATGCCCTGTTTACGAATTTGTATTGTTTGTAGCCCCCCCTTTTTTTTACAATCAATGTTGGTTATCTTCACCATTTTCCAGGGTGTATATTTGAATGAATTTTACCGTCATCAGACGTCAGTTTCTGGTTCTCCTGAATCTCCATAGATTTGGAGTCTTCTTCCTTCAAGTGAACAGAGATATGAACATCTTCATCCTCGTCACCTGTTAGTTCTGGTTGTACATCATCATTCCTTGTCCACCATGTAAGGCGGTGGAGCTAAAGACAACGAATATTTTTTTACTCTATCATTCGACGTGAACTGAAGGAATAATTTAAAACATAACAATGATGTACCTTATTTGCAGGACGAGGTTGTGTAAACAAACTGATGACGACCATAGCAATCGTTGCAAATAGCGCTAAAAGTGTTGCAAAATGCAGAAAATCTACTTTTGAGATTATTTCTGGTCTAGCGTCCACATCATCACTGCCACATGCAGGTGATGGAAAAGTAAAATCTAGGACCATGCGTACAAAACCCACTACTATGCTTAGCATAAGTCCCCAAAACACTCCCTGAAATAAAATTGAATCAAAGCTAATCCATTGGCACTGTTCATACATGAATAGTCTCTTATGCAGCTTGAAGCTCTCTCTACAATATGAAATCAAGTTTTAAATTGTCAACCTGTTCTGTGGTCCTTTTCCAGAACAATCCCAGAAGAAACATCATACACAGAGGAGGTACAAGATAGGATCTCACAGACTGGATATAAAACCAGAATCGCCCTCCCTGGGTCTGCTGTAATATTGGTAACCAGAGGATACTGAAGCCAACAAGGACAAGGACAGTAACTCGTCCAACAATCATCAACTCGTACTGAGAGGCCTTCTTCCGAAACTGGTGCCAGATATCGAGGGTCATGATGGAGCTAGCACTGTTCAGTATTGAAGTCAGTGTACTCATTAATCCGGCCAGCAGGGCAGCAAGCATAAGACCTCGTAGACCTGAATAATTGTTTAAACATTTCTGTGAAACGTATAGCTATAGGAATCCAATATGGGTAAATTTATTTTTTTCGATTAAAGGTTATGGAAAATTAAACTAAAAAGAAACATATAAAAAAATTCTGAAAAAATGTGCCTCTTTTTAGACACACATTATATGGCTTTAAATGTCGTATATATCTTTTTTGAGAAATGATCGTCAATAAAAGCTGTAGCAAACCCATATTCATATGAAGTGTTTAAACGTTGCATTATTATACAAATCGTGCATTATGTTTGATAAAACTTATTGTTCGTATTCGAGAAAATGCTATTCTTATTCGAAAACGTTTTTCATATTCATAAACTATCAATTCATCTTCTAAATTTTCTGAATTGTATTCGAAAAGTTGATCTTCAGATTCTAAAACTTGTTTTATTTCGATAATTTTGTGGTTTATATGCGATAAACTTGTGATTGATTTGTGTTCAAAAACATTATTTATATGCAAACATGTGTGATTCATATTCGGAAGTTTTGTAGGTTATATACAATAAGCTTGTGATTTAGTTTGCATATAGCATATACATCACAAGGTTACCGAATATGAATCACGTTTTTATATGAATCACAGTATTTCGCATACGAAGCTCATCTTTTTTTTTTTTTATCCTAACAAGCTTTCTGAACAAATCAAATTAAAAGAAAGGTTATGCTTCTAAACAAAGAAACTAACAAACGCTCTATGACGAATTTTGCAAAAATATTGTAATTTTTAATATCCATAACTTGTATTTTACTTTGTAGTATTAAGTTGCTGCCCCATTGACACGGATAACAACCTCAATGTATATAGTTAGATAAATAAGTTTTCAGAGAACGGTTTTTGTACCAATCCTCCTGTAATGCCTCCTTAGTATCTCTTTTTCAGTCGATGGCATGTTCTGAATAAAGGTCATTTTAATTCGATCTCAAATATTTTCATTTTTTTTCAAGATAGTCCGATCCTCAGCTTAAAAAATAAGCAGTTCAATGATTGAAAATGCTCACAAAAATGACTCTGGATTCATAAATAATGTGTTTATTTCCGTGGTATTTTTTTAAAGTTCATTATAGACCATTAAATTATATAGGGTAAATAATCAAATTTCAAATCCACTTTCAGAAAACGCAAACGAAAGCACCAGTTATGCATTTTCTGATTGATAATTGTTCAACAAATATATAAATTTATCTATTCATTTTTTGCTTAAATGGTATTTTTGTTCTTCTGTTAACTTCAATTATTATACATATATAACATTACAGATAATTTTTTATGGTTCATTTCATACTAATAAGCATTGACATCTAAGACTAGATTAAAGAAAATACGATTTCTCTAAAAATGTATTTATTTTTGTCCTTTTCTGCGGTACAAATGTCAGCTTTGTAAGAGACCGTTTCTAAGACTTCAAAGAACTTTGACTCATATTTACATCAACAGAATGACTTCAAGACTGTTGCACTACAACACTGAAATTTCAAGCTTCTTTTTGTAGACTTTTAAATTAAGTAAAAATTATAAGAGTAATCTTTCCTGGCCCAGGAACGGATATCCTTAAATGAGGGAAATATTTTGATTTATGATGTTTTAAAATCGTTCAATGGAACTCTAAAATCAGCGATACTGTTCGTCATCATAACCTTTCAGCAGAATTAGATACAGGAAAATGTTACTAATAAGATTGCTTGCTAAGTAGATTCAAGAAAAAAATTATTAGTATTTCAACAGAACCTGGTACATTGCCATGACTCAAAAAACACAAGAGAGTTTCTCCAACAAGATGTAGTTTCTACCCTTCCGTGGTCAGGAATCAGTCCTGATTTAAACCCATGTAAAACATTTTGCCGGATGAAACAAGTCCTTTGCTCAGAACATGTCATTGACTGAAAAAAGAATACGTGAAAGGTACTTCAGCAGGAATGGTATTTAATTCAACATTCTATGTAAATTCATAGCATGCCTAGTTGCAATACTGCTGTTATCCGTGTCAATGGGGCAGCATCTTAGTAGTACAAAGTAAATTATCAATAATGAATATAAATCTAAAATATTTTTGCAATATTTATCATATTTTTTTGTCTCTTTGTTTAGAGGCATTACGTTTTTTAAATGGCATTTAATTTGTTTACAAAATCTAGTTTGGTTAGAAAGTTTTTTGAGCTGCAAGTTACAGGTTTACAAGTTTGAATAACACTTACCGAATATAAATCACAAGATTTAGGATATGAATTACAAGTTTACGAATATGAATATTAAGTTTTTGTATATAGATAACAAGACTTTGAATAAAACTACAAATTTTATCAAATTTAACAGAATATTTGTATAATAATAATAGGTTTTACACATCATACACATACATACACATGTATATCGAATAAAGTGACTCTCAAAGTCCTAAAAAGGTAATAAAAAGTTAATTAACCTTTGGGAAGTAGCCGCAAAACCATAAGTGGATAGGCAATATTTGTACAGCCACTCCTGTTACTGCAGTATTCCATGCATTTCTTAGGATCGGCACAAGCGACTTCCTCTATTACAAAAGAAGAAAATTAAAAGCTAATACATGTATAGGCAGATGAAAACAGTTTTGTCCATATGGAGGTCTTACAACGATTTACCTGTGTATAGAATACGACTGTTCATGCCGGGAATGACAAACAATAGAAAACCCGTCAGCTTCAGCACAGCTCCCAGCAATACTGCTGCCTTTGCGTGCACCATGTTTCGAGCAGACAGAGTTCGCTGAACAATTATCTGACGAAAATAGGAGAGCATTACAAAGAAAGAAAAATTAAAGAAGTCACGACACACTTTTTCTATGTACAAGTATTTGGGCTAACCAATAAGTGCACTATTGCTTGATGTAATCCATGTTTAGTAATGATAACACATTGTTTTCTCTGTATTCCATATTTCATTAAGAGTTTCATTGTGTTTATGAATTATTTCTGGTACAAGTTCTTACAATTGAAGTAATATACCTGGTCCTGGTCCCATCCATAAAGTCCAAGAGTGGACAATCCTAGTAAAGCCCCAGTCCAAGGGATGTCACCACTCACGGGGTCTCTGAACATGTGGAGGGAATCCGCCGGGGGAACCCCGCATTTGTAATATGTCTGATTGTGAAGGGTTTCATTGGACATAGCAGCCATGAACTTGGTTTCCATGGCTTTGTATCCTCCCACCTCAACTATTGCTGAGCGAGCATTTTTTTAATAAAAACATTTTATTATTATTTATAGGATTTAAAGCCTAAAACCTTTTTTTCTACATGTAAAATAAAACTTGTTTGATAGAGCATAATTATAACAGGGAACATACGAAGAACTTTGCGCTAAGATTGTTAAATGTGTTGAAATGAAATATGGAAATAACTAACAGTAATCAGGCTCAGAAGCCCATTAAAACAACACAAATAGGAAGCAGAGCACAAACCTCTGAAAAAACATCAGAGGTGAGATCAGGTGCCATGTAAGCGTCCCTTCTTGACCATCACCCCCACCGTGTTCTCATTATCATGATCGGTCGACAATTCAGTATTTAAATAATTGACTAACAATTAGTATGAAAAACGTTATTCAGCATTCAACTTAATGATAGATTGTATTTGTTGACAAGGTCATTGTATCGACCATAGAACCTGCGAAATGATGACATTAAACTAGACTTTAAACGAGACTATTTATGTTCTTGTTTCATCAACTTGATTATCAAAAGCTTGCCTCACTTTAGAAATTCTTCGTGGAGCATGGTCTTGCGTATCGAATCAACTGGGAAATAAAACTCCCATATACAGGTGATAGCAGTATATTGCTACATAAGTAAAGGAAGTTGACCACAGAAAAAATGAAGTCATCAGGTTTATCATAAAGTTTTGTTGTTGAAAGTAGTTCCGAAAAGGCAATTCGAAAAAAGCTTTGCTTTTGAAAAAGTCATCTTTCACTATGCAAACAAAACTTTATATTTGATCACCATAAGCAGTGCATATATGCGATTTGTGGTTACTTGCTATAATGTTGAAAAAAACAAAATTTTGTCTCAACTCATCAGAACTTTAATTGATATGAATACTGGATTTTAATTTCTCAACAAATATCCTCGTTTTCATTTAGGTCTCTATAATACTTACAATGCACGTAGCATTGGGGGGGGGGGGGAGGGGCTGTTCCCTACTTTTTCCCAAACATAGCTTTTTATTATTGAAAATGTTCATTGGAAGCCCCCCCCCCCCACTTTTTGTTGTAGTATGTAGTATAGTCAAATATGGGTAATGTAGTGATGTATGATAAAAATTTGATACTGAAAGAAGTTGAAACTTAACACCCCCCCCCTCTTCTTGCTCTCAAATAATAATAACACTTAGGAATAATTTCAGACGTAAATTTCAACTAAACTTATTTATATTTGTGTAATTCTTAGGAGTTACTGAGTAATCCCTTCTGTATGACCGGAGACCAACTAATACAATTGCCAGTATACGCGGGTGTTCGGCTCTTCTTCTAATGTTAAAATAGGTAAACTTTGTGACAGATAGCAGAGAGGTGGCAGTATTAAGACAAATTCTTGACCCTGAGACTTAGGGATTTCAGGTACAATTAACAAGAGCTTCAAAGCTATATCAAACGAATGATGGCCATAATATTTTGTAGCATGATAACACAGTTACCTTTATTAATATTTTTTAAACATCAGCGAGGATTTTTTTCATAAATATTTCAACTCCCTAAAATATTTTCTAACCCATGGAAACAAGATACTGAAAAATCAAAATTGTATAATTTGATTATTCTAACACTAATCAAATTATCGAAGAGTCGATAGAAATACAAAGATCATCGCTCTACTTTAAAGACAGATACATATCGTCACTCGTGTTTCAGGCCACATGTCTCCTGCAAATACAGCGATCCTATGGTGAAGGTCATTTGATAGTAAGGAATAGTTACAGATTTATTTCTTGTAGTGGTATTCAATATTAAATTAAGCCTAGTTTTTCCAGAAGTTTCAAAAGATTAGCTGGTAGTGGTATTGTGATGTTTCTTTTCTTGTAATGATATACTGTATCACATTATGTCACAGCAGTCAAGTATCCAGCAATTTCAACGATTTGATGGTGAAAGTCATATGATAATGTAATGCCAAGAGGGTTCGTACCCGGTTGATCTGGAGGTTTAAATTGATTTAACAATAATAATTTTCCTCCATTGAAGTGATTGAACAGAATGATCAATGTAAATCATATATGGTAGCAATTTTGATGCACCAGATGCGCATTTCGACAAATTATGTCTCTTCAGTGATGCTCATGCCGAAACGCTGGAAATCCGAAGTATCCGATTAAAAAAAACTACAGTATGAAGAGCTGAAAAAAGGGATGCCAAAGACTTGAGCCAAATACGTCGAAGGGTCAGAGCTATGCATGATGGAGATAATCCTTAATTTTGAAATAAATTTCTAGATTTTACCACAGTAATTAAATATATATCCGTATTTTCAAGCCATTACCAAAGTACTTAGCTACTGGGCTGTAAAGATCCTCGGGGACTAACAGTCCACCAGCAGAGGCATCGACCCAGGGGTCATAATGTAAATCATATACGGTACCAATTTTGATGCCCCAGATGCGCATTTCGACAAATTATGTCTCTTCAGTTATGCTCAAGCCGAAACTTTGGAAATCCGAAATATTTAATTAAAAAAAAACTATGTAGAGTTGAAAAAAGGGGTGCGAAAGACAAAAAAAATTCCTCTTTAAAATTATTTGACTATATAATTAGTAAAGGTTTGCACATATATCTTGATATGACACTTACCTAACTGAGGGGAAAATCACACGGTCAGTGTTACTTAAAATGTAAGAATTTACAGATCTAACTAGAAGCATGCCTCATTCAGGCCCTAACACCTATCATAGAGACAATGCTTAACTTCATAAAGATGTTCAAACTCCAAAAGTATTATCATATTTATTATTATAAATATCTTATTCAGGACGGATACCTTACCTTTAAAGTCTCACACCTTCTCTACTCCAGGAAAAATGAAAAAAGTTAAGCGAAATCAATCTGAATGGTCCAAATTATTAAATGTGGAATGCCTCTTAAGCAATCCACCTAACCAAACAAAGAATATTGATTTAAATAATTAAGTGTGGCATGCCTCCAACATAAGGCAATCCACCGGTGGCAAGCCTCCGATATAAGACAATCCACCTGACCAAACAACTTGTCGACTTCCTTCTTCCAAAACAGTCAACGGTGCTTGACTCCAGCTATACCCTCTGTGGGTCTAGCAACAGTTTCTAGATCACCAATTCCTAGCCATCTGTATCCCACCTTCATAATTCAGTTTCTAGATTATTGTTGATGTAGTAATTGGAAAACACAAAATCATTACAATAATAAGGAATATTTACATATTTTTTACAAGGGTATAAAAATATTCATTTTTAATACTAACACATTAAAAATAGAATGGCGGCACCGATTACAAGAACGACCGTCTGTAATGTGTCTGTGTAGATGACAGAAGCCAATCCACCTGAAAAATGATAAATTATGTTCATACTCACTATAATCAAGTCTACCGGTAATTAATGACGATATGCAATATCGAAGAGTAAAGAAGAAATGAATGGGTATTACAACTGAACTAGCTGGTGTCTCCAGAATTATAGAAATTTACATACCGACAGTTGTATAAATTGCAGTTATTCCCAAAATAATGCTAACACATAGGTAGATATTCCAGTCTAACATCTGCTGAAGAAATATGGCTCCTGTATATATTTCACCCTATAAGATAACGGATGACAAAATAACAGCACAAATAAAACTTGAACATAATGAAAAGTAATTATAGTTCCCGTTTAATGCGTTCATAAGCAAATTGTACATACATGTGAATAAGCATTTTCCAGATTTTATATTAAAAATAAAGTGACGATAACAAAAAGTTATCGATCTTAAAAAAAACTATAAACAAAACAAATCTGTGAACAGGGCATACAACACGGACCCTTCTAGAATATGCTGTAGCACAGTACGTCTAAAGTTTTTCCTTTACAGCAGTTACTATTTTAAGAATAAAGATACGGGCTTCTGAAATATTGTCTCTGTAGTATAGTGAAGAATTTACCAAGAATAACTTCTTACCCATAAGTCTTAGTACTTAATACAAGGTTCATGTATTATTTCGTCAGAATTCCGGATGGGAAAAGTGAAGGGATGGAGGATATAGTAAAAATAGGAAGAGGTAACACATGAAGACCATTCGATGTTGCATTTTTGAAGCATACAGCAATTGTGCTCATGATTCTTCGTGTGATATAAATTTTTAGATGAAAGACCGGAGATATGTCTCTACAGCAGGTTTATTCCCAGGTAATTATAGGCCCTAATCTTTCATAGATATTGCATCACGGGATACATATTGTGATCATGATTCAAATGCTACATTTGATATATTATTCATGTGAAGTTCAACCTTTGGGAGCAGGTCAATTAAGTGATCAGTTCTTTATTTACTAAACGTTCATCGATGATATCACTAATGATTATGGCCTAATTATACGGTTGGTGAAATTAACTGAAATATATTTAAATTCTTCATTGACAAAACTGGCTTTGCTTTTGCAATAAGGATTGACTATCACTTATGCTTTAAATACTGCACGTGACCTTTCCTTTTGGAGTGATCAAGGTTAAATTCATATTGGTAAAAATTAAGCATAACAGTAATACTTATTGACCTTTGGGCACAAACAGTGTATTTAGAAGAGGGAGTAGTGTTTCTTTAAAAAAGTATAGGTATTTCTCTCATTTTGAAAGGTAATACTTTACAAGATGAATCTTGCTGTCTATTACTGGCAAAATGATGATTTATTTTTACTAACCGATATGTTGCAGAGGATGTAGCCAATTAGGGCGAGGAACGAAACATACATGCGCAGTCGCTGCCCCCCAAAGCGCTTCTTTACCCATTCCGGTATTGTGTATGCCTGCGTAAAAAAGTTTATGTCAAACAATTCCTCCTCAAATTTATTCGATAAAAGATTTGAATTCCAAACACTTACCCCACATGCTACATACACTGGAAGAAACACCCAGCCTAACAAAATCAGGAAAAACACCGCCTTTAAAAAAATCCGTTTGATGTAACGATCATTAGGAAACTAAAGAAATAATTTTCATATACTGTAAATGTATTATATTTAGCGGGTACGATATTCGGCGGAAATTTGATTAAGCGCCTGTCTTAATTTCTTATTTATGTGTAAATGTGCAAGAGATTTAGCGTTACGTTGTACTTTATTCACCTAAAAAGAATACACAGCCAAATGTAATACGTTTACAGTATGCAGAAAATAATTCTAAATCTATTACATTAACTGAGAAATACATCGCAAAAGAAGAGCACACATTATTACCGTAATAAATCATCCGAATACACTGATATGCATATCGCTTGAATAATCTTCAAAACCGATTTAAGAGTTATGAACAAAATAAGGACAATGATAACTTACATGCCATTCGTATATAGTAACAGCGATACCAGAGCCAGCTGCAGAACCTGCAAGTCCAATGAACATCGGAGCTCCAATGTTACTTGCATAGATAGAGGCCCCAATCTACTCAGCACACCAGAAACAAACAACATTAGACATAGTTAATAATTACAACATTTGTGTAGCAAAAATAACAATACATCTTACGTCATAGAAAAGAAAAAGATAGACTACTTACACAAAAGCTTACTCTTATTGTGAAATGAAAGTAAGGGCAATCGGGAATTTTGAAAAGTCATTTTAACTTAAAAAAAAATTCAGCATAAAAACTGCAAATCAGGTATCCAGTGCATGCAGCATAGATACTACAAAAATCATTTTATAACCGGTATCAAATGCATGCAGCATTAGTACTGTAAAATTAGTTCATACTGGTATCCAGTGCATGTTTTTCCCAGCCAGAAAGTAACCCTTGGCATTGCCCTTGTTGGGTCTAAATGTCGACTGAAATAAAAGAACAACCCTTTCACATAGTTTGAAATTTTGTTTCTACTCTTATTTTGACGAAATTTGAATCTTGAAAATAGAAACACTTGCTCAGGTCTCTTCTCTTACAATAAAGATTAATCAAAATAGTAAATTTTACTCTACCCATAATCCGACGGCTAGAACAATAACAAAATAGACACCGATAGTAGCATAGTCCTCTAAGAACAGCTTTTCAGCCATGATCTTGTCTTTCTGAAAATAATATGGTAGACATGTGGAATACCCGCACAATTATCGGTGTTCTGATCAATATTGACTTTTTTTCATTCTGCGAAATCTTTTATCTATGGTGTATATGTCAGAACATGCATTTTAAACACGGCTTACCCTCCCAACAATTATATGTGCATTCAAATTTAAAACCCTGCACAGATTTTTAAATTGTTTTTTTTAAAGATTGATCATAAAGAAAAGAGTATAGATATCGGCCATTACAATCAATCATTCATGAGAATTTCTGAAAGTTTCGATGTCCATGTGTAAAAATGGTGTAGAGTTACTTGACACTCGATACTGTTACCATACCTATACTGGATTCCTAAATTACAGAAAAATCCTTACAAAAAGATCCATAGCGGGTTCGAGTGAATGTTCTACCACGCCTCTTTCTTTACTCCTCATTAAAATATTAACGACAGTGAAGGAGAAACTTCAGGAGTATTGTACAAGAATATATTCAAGAAGTGGTGTAATCAGATGCGGAAACTTCAAAACTCCCAAGAACTTTTAGAAAATTTGAAACGTACGATTTTTCCACACTTTATACAACCATTCTCCATGACAAATTAAAGGCCAGGCTTTTTGACTTCATAAAAACTGCTTATTCAATAAAATGGAACTCTTAAATTTACTTACCTTGTTAATTATCATTTGCAAAATTATTTTGTTAAAACATTCTGATTGTACACACAAGTCCTCCAAAGTGGTTATTAAAAAGATGGTTGAGTTTCTGATTGACAATATATATGTAGATAATGAAGATCAGATCTTTGAACAATCTGTTGGAATTTCCATGGGTACCAACTGGGTCCCGTCATTAGCAGATCTATTGTTGTATTCATATGAAACGGAATTCATTCAAAATCTTATACATGTACACGAGAAAGGAAATCTCTTGCTGTGGCCTTGAACTCGACATTTAGATATATAGACGGCCTATCATCAATTAACAACAGTTATCTCCATTCATATGTCGACTCGATATATCCATGTGAGCTTTAAATAAAAGATACCACAGAGTCTGACACATCTGTTTTCATATTGTATTAGATAAAAACTTTCATGGTAACCTAACAATCAAGCTTTATGATAAACGTGATGACTTCAATTTTTCAATCGTCTACTTCCCTTACTTACGTAGCAATATATTCTTCTCACCTGCATATAGGATTTTTGTCTCCCAGTTGATTCCATACGCAAGAGCATTCTCTGCGTATGAACAATTTCTGAAAAAAGGCAAGCTGTAGTTTGAAGTCATTATTTCCCAGGTTTAATGGTCGATGCAATGACCTTGTCAGCAAAAACAACCTATCGTTACGTCAAATGCTGACTGACATTTTACATACTAATTGCTAGGTCATTGTTTACACACTGAATTGTCTATGGATTTTTCCGTTCTTTCCGATCATGTCAAGGAGCACACTGGGGTGTGAACGATCGGCAGAAGATTCACACTCCTCCATGACACCTGATCTCACCTCAGATATGTATTTGGAGGTCCATGTTTGCTCTGCTCCATATCTGAATTGTTTAGGTAGACTTTGAGCTTGAATATTGTTCGTTATCTCCATATTTCATTTCTACACGGTCGCCTGCGTGGCGCAGTGGTTAGAGCGTCTGCTCTAGAGTCGCAGAGTAAGGAGTTGATCCTTACGTCGCGATTTCGATCCCACTTTGGAACGTGAAGACCGGTCCATCGGATGAGACCGTATAAACCGAGGTCCCTGCTGGCACGAAAAAGATCCCTCACTGCTCAATGGCCCTCAGTGCCGAGTATAGGTCAAAATTGCAGCTCTCCACCGGCAAGTGGTGGCGTCTCCATATGAGTGAAAATTCGCGAGAGGGATTTTTAACAACAAACAAACAAACAAACAAGCATTTCTACACGTTGTGTAGAAGTAAAAGTAACTCATTACATAATAATATGCTGTCTACAATGTCATGCATAGGTGTACAATTGGTCTGTTGTCTACAGTGTCATTTAAAGGTTTACAATTGATATGTTGTCTACATTGTCATGCATAGGTGTACAATTGATATCTTGTCTATAGTGCCATGTAACGGTTTACAATTGATATGTTATCTACAGTGCCATATATATATGTGTACAATAGATATGTTGTCTACAGTTTCACTTAAAGGTTTACAATTAATATATTGACCACAGTATCATGTAAAGGTTTACAATTACTGCAAAACCATCAAGACATGAATCATTTTGATATTGAAAAATTCTTTCATTTTCCCGGATTGTTTCATGGAGCAGCACTTAAATGAGGCTGCTCCTCGGTTTACAATGGTTTTCTTGGTTGAAAATATTTAATGTTACCCTTTAACTACATGCAATATTTGTTATTTTAAACTAAATGTTTTATGCTAATACATGAAATGGTGAACAGTTCGTCATTAATTCCGCACAGTCAACTTATTTTTTTTGTAATAAAACCTGTCGCCAAGTAATGTTGACATTTGCTAATTTCTATCATCCCGGAAAGCGTGGCATCAACATTCAGAGGGTAACAGTGTTTTTAACAAATGTTTTTGACGAATCAAATTCAACTAATTTTCTTGTTCTTGTTAAACAAATATGTAAAAGGGAAATTCTTCTCCCTCTCTCTCTCTCTTTGTGTGTGTGTCTAGCGCTTAGTGCTATTCTTATGAAAGCAGATGAATACATTTATTGCTATATGTATTTGTTTTTACAAATTTTAGTCAATATCAATACTTTTAAAGGAATGGTTTTTGTGCTGATATGTATTCATTATCCTGTGCGTTTAGGTAATAGCAAAAATCGTTTTTATTTCTCGTGATGTTAATTTGATACTGTAAAGCATTCTCACTGGAAACATTTTTAGAAAGAAATCGTAGGTATACTTAATATTTTTTTGGAGCTTAATCAAAATCCAAAGGCAATGCGAACATGAAAAAATGGTCATTATAAAAAGAACTTAAATTTTTAGAGTCCTTGTTCGGATTTGTTACGAAATGAATATTCAATTATCCATTAGCTTTCAAAGTAGAAGGAGGGGGATAAAAATGATTCCCAAACTAGTAAAATCCACTTCTTGGGAAAGGGGGGGGGGCTAGTTCCTCTCTCTTTTCGGCAGAAAAAGTGGAGGAAGGGGGTAATTGGTCTTGAAATGAAAATGTCAATACTAACTATATTAACTACTTTGTCAAAAAGGTGGGGGTTGCAGTCCCCCCCCCTCCCCGGCCTCCTCGATATTGCCTAGTAGGTTTGGTAAGAATAAAAAATAAATATTTTGAAGGATTTTTTTTCAGGATATGATATAATCTGAAGATCATTGCATTTCCTTTATATATATTTGTTCAATGGGTTATAAACTAAATGATTCGACTCATTAAAAGTATCTTCCTTGATAAGAGATCCATACAATGAAACAGGTGCTCGAGTCTCTAAGGAAGTATCTTGGGTCTAGAATAGAAAATCATATACATGTAGTCATATTCCATGAAACGTACTTAGCTAAGCTTTCACGGTTAAATTTGTTTTAATATATTCTAAGTAGAAATTTGAAATCACAATAAAACAATAATGTTCACAACACTACAATGATTATATATTTTACATTTTCTCGATGTAAACCTTGGAAAGAAGTTGAAAAATGTTTTGTTTCGGAAAATTGCTGTTTATATACTAATACTGAAATTTATCATGTTTATTTTTCACAGTCATTTGCTTTTAAGACATGTTTTTTAACTTAAGGAATGTTTTTAAGTTTTGAGTGAATTATTGGTGTGTAAATTACACCGACTTTGCACGTAGGCAAGTAGAAAAATATGCATACGTGCAAGTCTGTGTGATTTACACACCAATAATTCGCACAAAACTAAAAAAAAAAAAAAATTAATATTTATATTTTACATGTTTAAAACAGCAAAAATACATTAAATGTTTAAATTTCTCCTTGTCCTAAATCGTTAAAATTTTACTAGCGTCTCTGAAGCTTCTTTGTGACATTATTTTAGCACGAGTTTCTCCGTGTATATTTCTACATGTGAGTATACTTGTAAATCGCATTCAAGTTAATTTTATAGTTGTCTCAGGAAAAAAAAGCAAATGGAAATATATTATAACAAAGTCAATGTATAAGTTTCGTTTGACATTTAAATGACGTTTGAACGAATTCTCCATTCCTTTGAAAAAAGTAATTATTTTAGTACTATTTTTTTAATACTTTGAAACATTTCAACACTATTAATATCTTACTCTTAATTTCAATCCATTTGAAAGTAGTTTCAATTTAAGTATTGGTTTATAGGTCATCATATTAATAAACAAAAATTATAATTGCAAAAGCGCAATTTTTGCATATGCTGCAATAGGCCTCCTATAAAATCAAACAAATGTAAACTTAACATTGTGAATTGATATTTAATACTATATAATTAATATGAAAATTACTGACCACAGGTTTCAAAGCTAGGAAAAGAACTCTCCACAACACATTGCCCGTTCCGATATCGCTATAATTCACCATGTAATATGTTGCTATATAAGAGCCAATCACATGAAAGAATTAACAAAGCATTACATCAACTCAACATACATGCGCAATAGCGTTTATTTATAATAAATTAAAATGCAAAGAATACAGATGCATTCATGAAAAATCAGAAACAAAAATAGTATCTTATTTTCAATCTGGTTATAGCATTCTATGCTTCTAAGTTATAGTATTTCATTTTACGGAAAACCGTATGGTGCCCCAAAATAATAATAATTTTTCCCTATAAATCATATTTTTGGATACTAACATAGGAAACAAGAATAACAATGTTTTGGTACCCTATGTCTTTTCATAAGTATTCAATATGAAAGCTGAAACACAACATTTCAAGTCTAAAATCATAGTTTCTGAAACTCGATACACAAATCGCAAAAAGAATTTATTTAATGAAATCGTCAATGGAATAATCTTGAGCTGCTAAATCAACTTTCAGCTTCATTGTGATCATCGAGGTATATCACACAGAACGTACATACTAACGAAATTGGCAACTTCTTCGGCGCCATGTTGATTTCCCAAAATACACAAGTCCATGTTTGTGTAATGCGTATGTGAGAAACAAATTCAATGACCAGTGCTCGTAAGTAACTGGTTTTCACAAACTCTCGTTCTTTTTTTAATTTTCAAGCCTCGTGTCTCTTGAAAATTAAAACACCGAGGAACGAGAGTTTGAGAAAAACCGGTTACTAACTGACGCACTGGTTATAGAACATATATTTACAAGCGAATGTTCCTTTTTGTGGTTTCTTTTTGTTGTGACATAAACCAATTTTGATAATGTTTATAGACATAGTAAGACACAGGATCAAATTTATCTATAAAAATACAATTAAATATTTATTTGCATCAGCCATCAAATTCACTGTAACGACATACATAATTACATGTGGGCCTACACGAAATGATAACTTACCTTGTTATATGCTTAGATGAAGACAAGAGCCTATACTTATAAATCCAAGCCTAGTCAATCAACATCATTTTAGCCTTTGGTAATACAATCAGATTTCATTACCAATCATAATTTACGGATAATATCAACTTAATCTACTATAAATAATTACGCACACGTTAGAACATTTGTAAACCAAAGTCCTGAAGTCTAGGTTTGATAAAACATATATTATAATTTATCTAGATCTCTTCTGATTTCAGACTCACACATTTTACACATTTATACGTCTCCTTATCTACATCTCACAGAACCTGCATATTTTGAGATAAGTACGTTTTAAATGATTCCTTGTAAATCAGAACATTAGATAACAATTTATCAGAAGACGGGTGAAGGAGATGGGTGAAGAAGACGTGCAGAATGCCTATAGCTTCAGACATGTAAAAATCATATTCATTTTGTGAATTTAGTATTTAGAGTGTAGTTCTCATTATTGAAATTGATGAAATTATGATAAACAAAACTTTTCTGAGGAAACTTTTCTCGGCAAAAATTATTTTGTTATTAAAAAATATGTGGTATTCGTGGGGTTCGAACCCTAGCAATAAAAATCCCGAGTATCATTTTCCTTTGAGACTAACACACTAAACACTACGCTACACAGCTCCTGATGAAAAGTGGCATTTTGCGATGTGACCATTGACTAAATGGACTTCAATTTCTTGGAAAGATGCGAATTTTGTGTCATAAAATTGTGCTTTTAAGGTATAGTAGGTCTCTGCTCCATGTTATTGTTAAACAAAAAATGTATATTTTTACACAAACTTTGAGGATAAACTTTCATAAAAAATGGAGCGAGTGATTTTACCAGTTACCATAAAGTAACAGCCTACAACCCCTGGATTGGATTTTACCAGTTACCATTCGAATTTGTTTTAGATAATTGTTAAAAAAATATAAACCAAATAAAATAAAATACATCTCATTTGGATACGTAATGATATTTAGACCTACCTTTCTACTTTAGATAAAGAATTCCCACACATAGGTTCAAACACAAGAAGATCTGAGCAGAAGTACTTAAATCAGGGTTTCTTAAAGTTGATATTTCACGTATATATTAGAGAAAGAATGACAAAAAATCTGTGTGCATACTGAATAACTACACAAACAAAATATACATGCTCAGCTGGTGAGGTATGATAGGTCTTTGTATCTCACCTGTGTTTCAAAGATTTTCAACGACTATGAATATATATAAACACACGTCATATGCCAAATATCTTAAGTTTCTTTTGCATGTTTTATCTGTTGAGACAAAATAGTAACGTATACAGCTGTACAGTTCGCTAAGCTTACTAATTGAAATCTTAATGACAACATTTCTTAGGTTTTGTAACAATTGATATGCTGAATTGTCGTGGGCAATAAGATGTCAGAACAATGGCTATAGAGTGCTTTAATATTTTATACAAACAAAGCCCTCTTACTTGCATGATTTCATCCAAATTAAAGAAATACCATGTTCCCTTAGATATTGGTTATTTCCATTCGTATGTCGATACGATATATTCCAGTGAGCTTGAAATAATAGATACCACAGAGTCTGACACATATGTTTCATATTTGGATATTTTACTAGAAAAAGACGTTAATGGTAATCTAACAACCAAGCTTCCAAGCTTTATGATAAAAGTGATGACTTTAACTTTCCAATCATGAATTCCTCTTACTTCTGCAGCAATATACCTTCATCACCGGGATATGGGGTTAATATCTCTCAATTGATTTGATACGCAAGAGCATGCTCTACGTATGAACAATTTCTAAAACGAGGTAAGTTTTTGACAAACAAGTCGATGAAACAAGAATATCAGTAGTCTCGTTTAAAGTCGTCATTTCGTAAGTTCTATGGTTGATACAATGACCTAGTCAGCAAATACAGTTTATCATTAAGTCAAATGCTGACTGACATTTTTCATACTAATTGTTAGGCCATTATTTACTCACTGAATTGTCGATTGATTTTTCCGTTATTTCCCGATCATGACAAGGAACAGACGGCGGGTGTGACCTGTCGGCAGGGGATGCTCACTTCTCCATGGCACCTGATCTCACCTCTGATGTTTTAGGGGTACGTGTTTGCTTTGCTCCAAAATTTGTATTGTTTAATGGACTTTTGAGCTTGAATACTGTTCGTTATCTTCACACATTTCATACTCAAATACTTCTATTTTACCAAAAACCAAGAACAATTTATGGTCTGAAATCTTTCAGACATGAATCTGAAAAACTGTGGAATTATCTACCAGAATCTTTTTAAAATAATATATTTTAGAAATATTACTTTATTTAACCAATTCAAACGATCATAAGTAGTTGGTAATGAAATTGTTGTAATTGTCGCGCTTGTCGTTAATTTTTGTTTTTTTTAGAAAAACAGGTTTTTATTGCGATATTTCGGTATTATTGTGTTAATACTGTGTCAAGTCATTTTATATGAATCTTTATGGTAGTGTGATAGTTTAGTAGTACAACTACCCTCTCACGGAGTTTCAAATTCTGTTTCAACTCTAATTTTTAATGAAATTCGAAGCCCGATAATGTAAAGACTTGTTTTAAAGTCTCCGATACCTATAGTAGCATAGTCCTATAAGAACAGCTTTTCGGTCATGATCTGTATTCTGAAAATAAATTAGTAGACAAGTGAAAAATTTGCATAATAATCGGTGCTGAAATCAATATTGATATTTGATCTTTCTTTGTCATCTTTTTCTTAATGGTATATATGTCTTTACATGCATTTTCAACACAACTGCGTTCCTTCCAACTTTTATATTTACATTTTAATTTAAAAACCTGTAGACCTTTTGATTTTGCTTTCTAAAAAAAAAAAGAAAAAGAAAATGATTGACCAAAAAGGAATGAGTATAAACATGTTGTTTAACTCAATTATTCATGGAATTGTCACTCTGAAAGTTTAGACATTCATGTGTAAAACGGTGAAGACTTGCTAAACTCGAGATACATATTTGTTTTAAGATATTTTATTGTAAAATTAATACAGAGGAATTGGTTACAAGTTCTAACAATTTTTGAAAACCTTTCCTGTAATATATACAATGATTATAATGATTTTCGCAAATTATTAACAGAATGATAACGTAGTAATGCAGATGGCTTCAAAGGGAACGGAATACGAGCTGATTAAACCGCTTTATTGAAAGATCTCTCTGAGGTTCTTATCGTGTGTGTTTTCATTGGAGGGGATTAAAAAGCAGATAATTTAGCTAGAATAAATGCTCATTTTGAGAAGATCTTGATTAAAAAAAAAATTGGATATTTTTTTTTACTAGGAAAAGACCTTAATGGTAACCTAAAAACAAAACTTTACATGTAGCAGGTTCATGTTACGCTTTATATTTTGAATGATTTACGATATCAGAAGGACTGAGAAACTGTTACTTGTTTGATGATTTTTTTAATATAAATTACATTTGCATTAAATGACAAAAAAGTATGATAATGGTTCACAAATTAAACTGCAGATTGAACCTAAGTTAGTTCAACTTTCAACCATCAAGACATCTTGATTAAACAGTTCTTAAAATGAAAAATCTAAAACAGAATTAAGTTAGTCAAATAGACAATTCGTGTTTTGGTCCCTCTTTACGTGGGTGTTTAGTTCGATTTAAATGTATATATGTTAATGATTTCTGAACATCTTGATTTCAACAGCAGTCATCGTAATTGTCAAATTGGAAATTTACAGATAAAAGTAGAAAGTTTATTATAAATGATCTGCGATTTAAAACATCAATAGACATAAAATGAGAAGGCTAGAAACATAAACAAAGGGTTAAGACCAGAAAAATAAATATTTTTTGACTTTTTATGCCAACTCTTGCTATTAAACTGAATATTCCTCATATGTGTAAAAAAATTTGATTTAAGCAAAACACTGCAAATACTGTAGTAAGTGAGTGTATTGTTGCATAACTCTTTGAAATAAAATAAAATAGTGTAACTATTTGAAATTAAGATATCATGAAAATGGTCTCTGTCAAATAAGAAAAAAATCCAGACCTCTTTTATAAAGTGAATCAGCGACTTGAAAACAAAGAAGTGAAGCGAATGCCAAAAAAAAAAATCATTTTAACGTATGTGTAGTGCTGTAATAAACAGATCAAAAGATGCAGCAGATTTAAAAAAAAAAAAAAAGTTAACCTGACTCTGGCTATCAATTTCAAACATTAAAAATGAAAAATAATACGTGTGTTATTAATTTTAAATCTAAACACATGATATTTGAATAGGTTTTATCAACATTCTAAAAAAAATCAATAACTGAAAACAAGTGCATACAGAATTTAGAACTAAAGATTAAGGCAGTGAACATTGATCAATTCCAAAGCTCCTGTAAGAAATACAAAATAGAAAATCAAGGCAAAACACGGACCTTTGGACAAAAGAGAGGTAGGATCAGGTTCCAAGGAGGAGAAAGAATCACTTATTGACTGGGTACACTCGCTAGTATCATTTAGTGGAGACCTGACTTCTGTCTGTAGATTTTCTTGTTATTAACAAGATAAAGTCAGATTAACTGTTTACATGTCCATGGACTTCATTTGACCATTAGAAATAATCATTAATTTCTATACTAAATTTTTGCAGTGAAAAAAATGAAACACGTACTTTACCCAGAATAGGTACTATAGCACATATCTAGAGTTTTTTCCATAATCACACCTTAAGCTTATTTCTAAAATTTCTAATATTTTATACATTGTATTGATGGACTTTCGAGTTGATTACTGTTCGTTATCTCCATAAAATGGTCAAATATATATAATCATACAATCACGTAGTGATATTGTCTTCATGAATCTGTAAAAATTTCAGAAAAAAAAAAAAATCCATCCTGAAATGAAAAGCAAAGTGAGACTTTAATCCATTTCGATATTGCCAGTATAACACATTTATTTTGCACCTTAAGATCTTACTATTTTAACTACTGTTTTGCCTAGTTATGGCTTTGGTGCGTGCCTAATGAATATATGTTGGAATCCATAATCGCAAGTTGATTAATTAAATTAATGCTATCAAATATAGCAAGATGCTGCTTATACAGGATGGCAATTTATTTTGACTAAAGAATTATAACATTTTCTAATCTCATGCATTAATTCAATAAATATATAAAAAAAAATGTTTTCTTAGCAGCCGTTAGCAAAATTCTATCCATCATTTTTTCCGTGACTATTTTATAACGTTTTATGAAGAAGCATCGAATCCATTTTCCAGATATGATTTTTTAAACATATAATTACCAATTTTATATTAGCCAATGACGTGACAAACTCCAAAAATTACGGGTAAAAAGAAATTTTCACCAAGAATTGCAATCGTCAGTACCCTGCCTGTGCTAAAATAACTGACATCTCAAACCCAATATTAGGTGAATTACTCTGTATGATGATTTCAATGATGTTCACGCTTATCGGATGTTAGGTATATTAGCTATGTGTTAATTTAAAAATAGTGACAGGTATATTGAATTCTTCTGAAAAAATGCAACTTACCCAGGGCTCTAATTGGCGACTTATTTAGTCGCCATGGCGCCTAAAATTTTTCCTTAAGTCGCCAAATTGACGACCATTTTTAATTGACTTTGCGATCGTCGAATTCAAGAAATTTTCACATTTTTAACAATTTTTTGAAAAAGCGAAAAGAAATTTAAAAGAAGAGGAAATTATTTTAGCAATGGACATGTCAAGTTTTCTTAAGCACGTCATGGGTCCTTATATTCTATTAATCCTTAAAGTTGGCGCCTTAGAAAAATTGCGTGGCGACTAAAATTTGCATTGGCGACTAAATTTTTTTGATAAGGCGCCAGCTGTAGTAAAAATGGCTTTTTGATTGTTGTTTACATTAACTGTCTCATTTCTGGATTGAAAAGTTTTAACATGAAAGATAAATGATACAATTAAATCCCCAAAACCTTTTTTTTTTCCATATGGTCATTTTTTCAAATCTAAGACAAAGAAGAAAATTAATATGTCTCCTTAGAAAAATACTAAATTTTGAAGTGATACTATTCTACCTTATTTTGTTGCACTGCTGACATTTGATATGTTTTTACTAAACATTGTTTTAAAAAAATATAACACACAATAACTCTTTCAAATTTTGTAAAGCAGTTGGTCATGTTGATATTTTTTATCATTTACAGCAAGTATATTATATTTTCTTGAGCTTCAAAATATGATTATTTGCTCATGTAACATATATTTTAAAAATCAATTACTTATAAAAACTGCAATTGACAGATTTATTAGCAAAAATGTTCTTTGTGTCTTTATTTTCTAAAATAGCAAGCAAAGAATCATATATTGATAATAGATTTTCCATGTTGAGGAGCAAAACATCAAATGTTGAACTCCTCATATAAATAGGTATCCACGGATATTTCACTCTCATTTATGCTGCTTGTGATTCATATAACATTTTTAACTTTTCAATGGTATATCTGTTATTGATTTGCCATTTGAAAATTCTTTTTTGACTTAATTATCATACAGATTTCGAAAATCAATGTTTTTGGGCAACATTAATTTTTTTTCTGTTGCACTCCTGACATGGTATAACATTTTTTTTCGGCGGCAGCCATAACCATAACTTGGTAAAACAAAAGTTACTATCATCTTACTAGAAAGCTCACTACATTGTATTTGATCAGAAAAGTCTTTATTTAAATTTTGAAATATCACAAAAAAGTGTTGCACTCCTGACATTTTTACCATCGTATTTGGGCATCACTTTTTTGTGACTTAAGATATGAATAAGAAATTTGGCAGGTAGTTAGCCAATATCAAAAGACGTGTGCTGAGTCATAGAAATTTATTAACATTGTCTGTATATTTGCGCAATTTGATAAATATGTGTCACTCATATGTTGGTCGCATATTTTGGTACATGTAGTAAGGCATTAATGATCACATTGTTCAATTACCTGAGTTTTGAACTGCATTCTAAAGCATATGCTCTACATATCCATATACACCTGTGTATACATGAGCCATTATGATAAATAATAAAAACCGCTTAAATACAAAAACCGACAGGGGAACATGATAAGAAAATGTCTAATGGAAGAAACCCAATAAAAACACTGTAAATACACCAATGACAATCGCAGAAACGTTCAACATCTTCCTCCATCGGGAAGCCTCATCTAAAGACGTCATTTTTCTTCTTAATTCTTTTAATTCCGCTGCTGTCATCATATGCTTAGCATCCTCGTCAATTCCACACACCCAGTTTTTACAAAGGATCTTGATTCTTTGAAGCCCACTTGCTGTAAAAATATGATTAAATGATACATACTCGTTAAGCAGTCCATGCCATCTTACTTGTTTACATTTGCTGAAGTCATAGCCAATCGGAATGAGAAAAATTGGGTTAAAAATAAACATAACCAGTTGTATTCATAAATTTTATTTTAATTTAATCCATTTTGGTGCATTGTAGGAAAAATAAATGTCAGGTACGTAGGATCGATTTTGAAAAGGGTGGGGACATTATAAAAATATTGACAATTTACCAAATCTTTGACAAGCCTCCAGAAATAAGGAGAATTATCAAAACTCCAAAACCGTTCACGGTAGCTCAGTCGGCAGAGCGCTCGCTCCGTGATCGGGAGGTCGTGAGTTCGAATCTCGGCCGCGACAGACCCAAGTCGATAAAAAATGGGTAGCAACTGTTCCTTCGCCATGCGCTCGGCACTTTGAAGTGAAAGTTGCGGGTCCTTCGGATGAGACCTTAAAAACCGAGGCCCCGTGTCACGGCAGGCGTTGGCACGATAAAGATCCCTCACTGCTCAATGGCCCTGAGTGCCGAGTAAAGGTCAAAATTTGAAGCCCTTCACCGGTATATGGTGACGTCTCTATATGAGTGAAAAATTCTCGAATGGGACGTAAAACAACATACAATCAATCAATCAATCAAAATTCCAAATATGTTTTTTGTAGAAGGGGGTGTTTGGGTCCATTGACATGGGCAGGGGAACAACCAGTCTTTCAATGGGCATCTTAACACTAAACTAATAGCAAAAATTTACATTCAGAAAAAAGAATGGGGATGGTGGACAAAGCACTTGAAGTGCCACAATGTGATTTTGACCTGAGTGGAGGTCTGGTGCAAGTAAAATAATTTTCCAGTTTGTATCACTTTGTAGGAAATAAATTCTTATACTCACCTGGAAGTTCAAGTGCAAGTAAATATAACCTAGTATTTTGTTTACGATATTGGATACCAGCCATTATTCAATCATATAAAAATATTTGAGGAATCAACATGATATTGCCACAAAGCAACGTAATTAATTTTCAAGTTGATATAGTTATCAATATAATACCAAAGGTGGTAGAACTATATTTGTTATAGATTGATTGTTTAGGTTTCCTTCGAGAATTTCTCACTCATTTTGAGACGCCACCACTTGCCGGTGAAGGACTGCATATTTAGACCTGTACTTACGGCCTTTGAGCAGTGAGGGATTTTTTTTTCGTGCTAGACACAGGACATCGATTTATAAGGTCTCGTCTCATCCGTAAGACCGGACTCCACGTCCCACAGTGGGATTCAAATCCGCGACCTAAGGATCATCTCCTTACTCCGCGACTCTAGAGCAGACGCTCTAACCACTGCGGCATGTGGGCGACTATCTGTAATCGTAATACGTGCATTACATGTAACCTTCTCAGTTTTTTTTCTTTTCAAATGGAAGATTGCGATTTACCTTCTTCTGCTACAGGTTCCTGGATCTCCATAGATTTAAGATCTTCTCCCTTCACGTGAGCAGAAATGTGAACATCGTCATCCTCATTATCTGAAAGCTCTGGTTCTTCTTCATCATTTCTAGTCCACCATGTCAAACGATGGAGCTAAAGTCAACACACCTATATATATAATAATCAACCAAATAAAAATAGAACTTCCACTGTCAGGCGATCAAAAAATGTAATACCTTGTTTGCTGGGCGTGGTTGTGTTATCAAACTAATGATAACCATAGCAATTGTTGCGAACAATGCTAAAAGTGTCGCAAAATGTAGAAAATCCACCTTGGAGATTATTGTAGGCCTTGTGTCAACTTCACTGCTGCCACAAGCAGGAGCGAGGAATGTGAAATCTAAAACCATGCGTACAATTCCCATAACTAGACTCAGCATCAGGCCCCAAAACACACCCTAAAATATAGAGTACTTAAAAGTTCAAGGGGTATATATATTTAATCTTCAGGCAATAAAAAGTAGAGACTAAGTTGTTTCACCTGTTCTGTGGTTCGTTTCCAGAACAACCCCAGCAGAAACATCATACACAGGGGAGGTATAAGATACGATTTTACAGACTGCATATAAAACCAGAATCTACCTCCCTGTGTCAACTGTAAAATAGGTAACCACAGAATACTGAAGCCAATCAGAACAAGTACGGTAACTCGCCCAACAATCATCAATTCGTACTGAGAGGCCTTCTTCCGAAACTGGTGCCAGATATCGAGGGTCATGATGGAGCTCGCACTGTTCAGAATTGAGGTTAAGGAACTCATTAACGCAGCCAACAGAGCAGCAAGCATAAGACCACGGAGACCTGAAGGATAACGATGACATAGTACACATATATAATTACTGTGGAACCATTAAGTTTTGGTTGCTCAATATTCGTGGAATTCGTGGGTATCATGTATCCACGAATTCACATTCTCAACAAATTAATAACTGGGGTTTTAAAGTAATCTTTCCTTTCGTAGACATAAGCGAATGTACGAAATAACGTCCCCTCGAACCTGTAAAATTAAGGCAATTGACCGAAATTGGCTTTCACGACTTTTAATAATTCCACAGTATGTAAAATCGATATTGAGTAAATAGAAAAAGTAAATTACTACGTTTTGAGGTAAAAATCTAATTTAAAGCAAAACGTAATTTGTAAACCTTTAGGAAGTAACCTGAGAACCATAAGAGGATATGCTATGTTTGTACAGCCGCTCTTGTTTTTACAGTATTCCATGCATTTGTCTGGATCTGCACAGGCAACTTCCTCTGGAAAAAAGAATAAGGTTTAAGAAATTTAAGATTCATGAATTTCATAGCATTTTTGAAACAGTTTAATTAGGAGATACAGTACCCTTAAACAGAATACGACTGTTCATTCCAGGAATAACAAACAGAAGGAATCCAGTCAGTTTCAGCGCTGCCCCTAACAATGCCCCTGCCTTCGCGTGTACCATGTTTTTGGCAGAAAGTGTGCGTTGAACTATTATCTGAGAAAAAGAAAGGAATCTACTAGTATAATGAGAGGGAATTTAAAATCAGACAAAACAACTATATTAAATCGTAATTTGAGTAAAAGAAGTCCCTGTGAGTACTTGTCATTATTTCAAACGTTGGAGTATTTCTCATCGTCCTTTGTAAGCTAACTTATGCATTGTTAAGGCGAAATACATTTATATAATAAATTGCGCCACAGAGGTACACGATACGCCTTTCTGGAATAATTTGAATATAAATAGTCACAAAATACAAACATGAAGCCACAGTGACCACTTTTAGGTAGCAACACACCATTTTCCCCTCAGATGTACTGGCAAGGTTTGATTTTGAATATTTTAAATATTCCAAACAATCAAAATGAATTTGAATTACCATATATATATATTGTATTCCGAAACTTCATAAAAATCTTTACAAACAAAGATACATAGCGGGTTCAACCAAGCCTCTTTCTTTACTCCTCATTAAGATATTAACAGTAGTGAAGGAGAAACTTCAAGAGTACTGTGCAACAATATATTCGAGAAGTGGTGTAAATCAGATGTGGACACTTAAAAATTCTCAGGAACTTTTGGAAAATCTGATATCACAAGATTTTACCAAAATCAACAGCTTAAAAACTTTGGACTTTTCAACTTTATACACAACCATTCCCCACGATAAATTAAAGTCCAGGCTTTTTGACATCATTGACAGCTGCTTTTTCAATAAAAATGTAACTCGTAAATTTACTTACCTTGTCATTGGTCATTTGCGAAATTATTTTGTTAAAAAACATCCTGATTGTACACACAAGTACTCTGAAGTTGAAATTAAAAAGATGCTTGAGTTTCTGATTGACAATATCTATGTGGTTTTTGGAGACCAGGTCTTCCAACAATCTATTGGATTTCCCATGGGTACCAATTGCGCCCTGTTCTCAGCAGACCTTTTTTTGTATTCATATGAAGCAGAGTTTGTCCAAAATCTTATTCGTGAAAAACAGAAAACACTTGCTGTGGCCTTCAACTCGACATTTAGATATATCGACGACGTATTGTCAATTAACAATGGTTATTTCCATTCTTATGTCGATACGATATATCCCGGTGAGCTTGAGATGAAAGATACCACAGAATCTGACACATCTGTTTCATATTTGGATATTTTACTTGAAAAAGACGTTAATGGTAATCTAACAACCAAGCTTTATGATAAACGTGATGACTTTAACTTTTCAATCGTGAACTTCCCTTACTTATGCAGCAATATACCTTCATCACCGGCATACGACCGTTCACGGTAGCTCAGTCGGTAGAATGCTCGCTCCGTGATCGGGAGGTCGTGAGTTCGAATCTCGGCCGCGACTGACCTAAGTCGATAAAAAATGGGTAGCAACTGTTCCTTCGCCATGCGCTCGGCACTTTGGAGTGAAAGTTGCGGGTCCTTCGGATGAGACCTTAAAAACCGAGGCAACGTGTCACGGCAGGCGTTGGCACGATAAGGATCCCTCACTGCTCAATGGCCGTAAGTGCCGAGTAAAGGTCAAAATTTAAAGCCCTTCACCGGTATATGGTGACGTCTCTATATGAAATATTCTCGAATGGGACGTACAACAACATACAATCAATCAATCAATCACCGGCATACGGGGTTTATATCTCTCAGTTGATTCGATATGCCAGAGCATGCTTTGCGTATGTACAATTTCTAAAACGATGTAAATCATTGAGAACAAGTTGTTGACAAGAATATCAACAGTCTCGTATAAAGTCATCATTTCGTAAGTTCTATGGTCGATACAATGACCTTGTCAGCAAATATACAATTTATCATTGAGTCATATGCTGACTGACGTTTTCATACTAATTGTTAGGCCATTAATTACACACTGAATTGTCGACGGATTTTTCCTTTATTGACAATCCGATCATGACAAGGAGCACACAGGGGGTGTGACCGGTCGGCAGGGGATGCTCACTCCTCCATGGCACCTGATCCTACCTCTGATGTTTTGGAGGTCCGTGTTTGCTCTGCTCCTATTTTGTAATGTTTAAAGGACTTTTGAGCTTGAATACTATTCGTTATCTCCATATATTTAATCTCCTAAGCCTCGGAATGTCAAAGATACATGTATGATCCAAGCACGATCTGACTACAAAAATACCATGCAACTTCCAAATTGAGGCCTTGGTGACATTTTTGAGCTGCGACACACCGTTCCCCTAAAATGGATCATCTGACAGAATGGACCTAAGCATTAAAGTGTGCAAAAAATAATGCAGACACGATTAGATTTATGTAAACTTAAAATTAATGCCATGGTGACCAAGTTTTGAGCAGCAACAAATCCCCACCCCCTAATGAATCAACTGACAAGGCTTGATGATCCTTGGCCTCAGAATATGCAAAAAATTGTAGGGACAAAATTTGCCAATGCAAAGTCATTACATTCTAATATGAATGAGGACATTGTGATTTTTTTTTGTTGTTGCAAAGAGCCCTTCCCCTTACAAAGATGTATCAACAGAGCAAGTTTGATGCTCCTAGGCCCCAAAATGTGAAATATATGATCCGGACACGCTTTGACTATGTATTGCCAAATTAACAAAATGAGATTTTGACACAACGTCTCAGCAAGGTCCATTAGCTGATAAGGTAAGAGGGTCCCAGGACTCGCACTTAAAAAAAATACGACCACGACACTAAACTGCTAACAAGTGGACAGCTCCTACCCAGTCCGGTGTACAAAAATGACCAAAAATATATGCAGCGAACGCTGATAGTGCTATTACATGATTTTGCTAAAAAGTATATTGCGTAAGTTTAACATCTACTAGAGTATGCATGCGTCATTGTAGTGAAGAGAATATCATTGGAGTACCTGATCCTGGTCCCAGGTGTAAAGTCCAAGAGTGGACAGTCCCAGCAAAGCCCCAGTCCAGGGGATGTCACCTGTCACGGGGTCTCTGAAGATATGGAGGGAATCCGCCGGGGGAACCCCGCACTTGTAATAGGTCTGATTGTGAAGGGTTTCATTTGACATGGCAGCCATGAACTTGGTTTCCATTTCTTCGTACCCTCCAACCTTAATGATCGCTGAACAATGTAAATAATTAGTAAACTTATTATTTTGATTTCCATCAATCAATTTTAATTAAGTTTGCTATTGTATTTTGATACAATAACAAAATTCTATGTCAAATTATTGGATTAGCGCTGCTTTTGTCTCATCCAATCAAATGTCACAGACAGATGATAGTTAAAAAATAGTTTAAGATTAACTAACGGTGGTGTGATGCAGTGTGCCTTAAATAACTTCAGACCTAATACAGGATGTGCATTGTATTGTGCGTTAAGTTCCTTCATACCTAGTAAAAGATTAATTATTTTGTGCATTAAATAGATTCTGACCTACTAATGCATGTATTGAGCAAAATTTTATAGTGATAATATACAAAACATTTTATACTAACAAATGAAAAATAAGATTGTAGCTCCAACAACAAGAACGACAGCCTGCAGAGTATCCGTGTAAATGACGGAAGCTAGCCCACCTGAAAAAAAAGAAGATTTTTTGGTCATATTTCATTTATAGAGAGAGAGTTTTAAAACCTTTAAATGATTACTTTAAACATGAATATTTATAATATTGATAAGTAAACTAGGAAACAGCATGAACTAAAGCTGTTATACTGAATGAAACAACTTGGTACACATTTGCCTCCGAAATTTACGTACCAACTGTGGTATATATTGCTGTAATTCCTAGAATAATGCTAACACAGAGGTAGATATTCCATTCTAACATCTGTTGAAGAAATATTGCTCCGGTGTATATTTCTGCCTAAATAAAAAATAAAATAAAATAAATTGCGTGAGTAAACATGCTGGGCTTATCAAGAAAGATTAATTGTGTGTCTATTTTATATTTTCCGTATTACATTGACCTCCTATTTGTGTCCCAATCTGTTCATGATTTCAGCAAACACAAAACTACAAGCTTTCACGGGTCTGTTTGTGTGCAAATGTGTGCTAGTTGGACTTCCTATTCTTGAAATTAAAATGCAAGTTCTTCCTGTTATATCCTAGTTATAATTTACATTTTGTCCCACTAGCTCAGCAAAGCATCAGGAATGATGAATGGAACAAGAAAAGAATATATCTAATACTATATAGGAGCTTTTGTTTGCTTGATCTCTTCTGTGTCAATAGTTCTTACGACGTTATCTTAATGGCCCGAACCCAGATGTTCATTTTTCATGAATGAAATATGGAGATTTCAATAAGAAATTAAAAATCAAAACGAAATTTTCTTGGTACTAGTTGCCATCAATATGCTACAACCTCATTAATATTGAAGGTATTCATCTAAAACATTCTGCAGACATCCAAGAAGCCTTACAATTTATTTAAATCATAGTTCATTTTTTTCCTATATAATGGATTTCGTTTTTTGAAATTCTATCTCCTAAATATGTTCAAACAAAGAGAATGAAGTAAGGACTTTTATCTGAATTCCTTCTTCAGAACAATCGGATAATTTCAGCTTAATCTGCGCAAACATTAGGTACTAAATGGGATTTATATTTATTCAAATGGAAAAGATAAGACTGACCAGAAGTTACTGGCTAGACTGAAGCTGTACTGGTTTTCACTTAACAAAGGTAGAGAATAGTAACACGGGCTTGAAAGTATGGCAACAACAATTAATAAAATAACGAACCTTGGTTTAGTCACTTTTTGTGTCAATTTTAATTCCATTTGCACAAAAACTGTAGAAGAATAGACTTTTAAAAGAATTAATTTAGTTACCATGAAAACACCATCAACAAACCAGTATTTAGGATTAGAAAAGTCTACTTGTGTTCCAAGTTTTAATGAAAACGGACCATAACCACTGGAGCAGCATTTTGAAAGAAATCCATTGAAATTTCTTTTTTAAGTAACCATGGCAACATCATTCACAGAAATCAAAAACTGATATTCAGAGTTACGTGTCAGAGTATAGTCTACTTGTGTAAAAAGATTTATGGCAATCGGATCAAAACTGTAGAAACAGTAGCCTTTTTTAAAGAAATGTCTATCTTTAATAGCCATGGCGACACTGTTCATCAACAAAATCTACAACCCAAAAGAGTCGCCCGCGTGGCGCAGTGGTAAGAGCGTCTGCTCTAGAGTCGTGAAGTAAGGAGTTGATCCTTACGTCGCGGGTTCGAACCCCACTGTTGGACGTGGAGACCGGTCCTTCGAATGAGACCGTATAAACCGAGGTCCCGTGTCGGAGTAGGTGCTGGCACGATAAAGATCCCTCACTGCTCAATGGTCGTAAGTACCGAGCATAGGACAAAATTTGCAGCTTTCCACCGGCAAGTGGTGGCGTCTCCAATTGAGTGAAAAATTCTCGAGAGGGACGTTAAACAACATACAAACAAACAAACAACCCAAAAGCTCAAACTTTCACGGTTTCATTTTTTTCATCTGTTGTGTATTGTGAAGTTAAATTTTGCTGAATGGTTAAAACATACGGATATGTTGAATAGGATGTAGCCAATCAGTGCAAGGAACGACACATACATGCGCAGTCGACGTCCACCAAAGCGCTTCTTTACCCATTCCGGTATTGTATAAGCCTGTAGAAAAGATTTGTGTTACTTAAATACCTACATAAATAAAATCCCATAAATAAATTTTGTATGGAGAAGAGAAAAGATTGTCAACATTTGGTGATAAACTTACTCCACATGCAACATATACCGGAAGAAACACCCAACCTAACAAAATCAGGAAAAACACGGCCTGAAAGAAGTCATAAAGGTTGGATTATTTTAACTGTAACATCATGCAGATGGATAAAATCTGTGAAAGAAGAAGCATATACAAACATATTTTTGCTACGATATCATTTTGAACTAGAATTTAAGAGATTAAAAAGCAATATTGAATGAAGTGTATATAGATTAGGGATAAAAAAAAAACCCTTACATGCCATTCGTATATAGTAACAGCGATACCAGAGCCTGCAGCAGTTCCTGCCAGTCCAATAAACATCGGAGCTCCAATGTTACTTGCATAGATAGAGGCCCCAATCTACCCAAAACAACAAAAAGATTACACAACTACAAAGGATCTTCTTGAGAAAAACAAAGACACAAATGGTAGCAGTGTAAATAAACGAAATATGGAGAGAAGGACTGACATTAAATCACATTTTAAAATGCTAGTTCAAAAGTTCCTGATGAGACTTCTTTTGGTGTGAACAAAAATACATATAAAATATCATTCAAGTATGAGAAATTTTAAACATTGAAATGTAACGAACTTTTTGGACTTTACTTTGTATGAAATATATGGAGATAACGAACAGTATATTCATTGAATTATGTATCTTCGTGTTTTCTAAACTTTTTACAAAGTTTCATGTTTATCTTTCAAAATAGTATCTTCCTACAGTTTTCGTCCACAAAACACTGACAATAGTCCAAAATATCCTGCAATGAATGCAGAAAAGTCTATACGGCATTAGTGTCCATACGGCAAGACTACAAAAATCAAAAGAATTATAAAATTATGTATTTTGCTACAATCTACCGGTGGAGCAAATCTTATTGAAATGACATCAACTCTGTAGGAGCAGTATCAACTTGAAAAAAGAAACCTCAAACTTTTTAATTTTAATTTACCATGGCAAAAATAACTAGAGTAAAGCTCGTTGCAAATCAACGAGTAGGTCTTCCGACAGGCGACAGGCGTCAAAATTAAAGTGTTCAGAGTTTTTATCCAATAAGAATAACTCTGAAGCAAATTTCTGAAAATTACGCAAAAAAAGATTCTTTTTGGGAGGTTTTGACTCTGGCATTAATCACTGTTTAGAGGTCATTTCCAGTTGAAGTAGGAAGTCAGAAAGGCCGGAAAAACTCGAACTTCATTTACAAAGAGTTTAATACAATTTCTAATAATTTCAGAGAAAATGCTTCATTTTTAGACTACTTTCGATTTACACCATAATGCCTGTACTGGATTATTTTTGTAATCAGTTATTAATGTGCACATTAGCATATTCGAAGAAATTCTTCAAAAATCATATTTCAGTGTTTAATAACTTTAATATAATATACCAGTCAATCAAGGTGAGTTCGATCTACCCTACCTGTACTAGATTCTTAAATTTCATAAAAATCCTTCCAACCAAAGATACATGGCTGTGTCTTGCAAATGCTCTACTAAGCCCTTATCTTTATTCCTTACAAAAATATTAACAGCAGTAATGGAGAAACTTCAGACGTACTGTGCTACAGCTTATTCTAGAAGTGGTGTAAATCAGATGTGGATCCTCAAAAACTCAAAAGAACTTTTAGAAACTTTAAAATCACCAAATTTTCAAAAGTCTATAACATCAAAACGTACATCTTTTATGCAGTTTATACAACAATTCCTCATGATAAATTAAAATCTAGACTTTTTGATATCATAGACAACTGTTTTTTTTTTAATAAAAACGGAACCCTGCACATCAGAAATTTTCACATCTTGATTGGTCTTCAGCAAAATTACGTCGTTAAAAATAACTCTAATTGAACACACAAGTACTCTGAAGTTAATATTACAATGTAAATGGATGCTGGAGTTCCCCATTGACAACATTTATGTAGTCTTCGGAGACCAAGGTTTCCAACAAACTGTTGGAATTGCAATGGGCACTTATTGTGCTCCTTTATTAGATGATAATACAAGAGAAGAATAAATCACTAGTTGTGGTCTTAAACTCGACATTCAGATATATCGACGATGTTTTATCAATTAACAATAGTTAATTTCATTCGTCTGTCGACTCGATATATCCCAGTAAACTTGAAATAAAAGACACCACAGAGTCTGCAGCATCTGTTTCATATTTACATATTTTACTGACTATAGACGATAAAGGCCGATTAACAAGTAAATTGAATGACAAACGAGATGACTTTAGTATTTCCATCGTCAATTTCCTTATTTGTTTGTGTATAATATTCCTCTATCACCTGTTTATGATGTTTATGTCACCCAACTTATTCGCTACTCAAGAGCTTGGTCTGAGTAGATCAATTTTTAAAGCGAGGCAGGCTACTAACTGCTAAGTTGATGTTAGGGATTTAAACAGCCTCGTTTAAAGTCAGCATTTCGTAAATTTTATGGTCGTCATAATGACCTTGTTAGCAAATATAATCTATCATTTGGTCGGGATTTTTTTTGCTGACTTGTTTCATACCAATTGTTGGGCCTTTCTTTTTGTACTGAATCGACTACAGATAGTTCTGTCTACCTGATCAATACATAGGGGTCACGGCGGGTGTGACCGGTCAACAGGGATGCTTACTCCTCGTAGGCGCCTGATCCCACCTCTGTAATTTCCAGGGGTCCGTATTTTATGCCCTCTTCACATATTTGTATTGTTTGTGGATTTTTTTTATATCGATCGCTGTTCGGTATCTTTACCTTTTACGAGGGGTGATCAAAAAGTTCGCGAACTAATTGAATTACTTCCTTAAAAGAAATAAAATGAGGTTTTAGTGTTCATTATTTTTTAAAGTAGTCCTCTCCGATTTTAATGCACATCTGCCATTGTTCTGCCCATGCGCAAATCATGTGATCCAGGCGGTCACGTGACATGCTTCGTAGCAGTCTGTTCACGGAAGCTAAGAGATTTTTCCGAGTCTTATATTTCTTACTATGCAAGTAATTTTTTATAACAAGAACAGACCATCTGTCAAGAATGGCCAAATCTTGCAATAGGATGGGTGGATAAGGATATCCCCTCCCAGAATTAGCATAGCGACCATCACAACCCGAGTTTTCTGTCTCAGGAGCGTCGTTTATCCAATGTGGAAAAAGTATGGGCGCCTTCATTTTTTTCATATCTCATATGTTTAAAGCTAAAGTAAACGATATTTTAGGGATTTAATAATTATATTATTGCTCAGATATTCAACTATTTTTCTTACTGTAATTTGGCGATCTTTCAAAACAAATTGCTCAACTAAGGACACATCTTTTTACCGGCTTGCTTTCGCTGGGCAACAGAACAAACATTATTTTCAACCATCTCCCCGCCTTCACTAAAACATTCAATCCAATTAATGATTGAACTTCTGGTAAGTCTTTTGTCTTCATAAACCTTGTACAAATTATCATATTCTACTGCCAAGGAATTTCCGAGATAAACGTTAAACTTTACAGCCTTTCGTTGCTCGAGTACGACTGAGTCAACCATTTTTTGTCACAAGTGACCTACATACTGACGTCATTTCCACATTGTGCCGTCACAAACACGGAGCAAAACATTATTTAACATCTGCTATTTATAGAACATGTGTATGGCTATATGTGTGCTTAATTTCATTCTGATCTGAATCGTGGTTTTTGAATTATAGAGATAGTTCGCGAACTTTTTGATCACCCCTCGTACTCTTTGTGTCTGCATTCAAAACAGTTCATTTTTTTACTTGCTAAATTTAAAAATCACTTCCGTGTCCATCTTAAGTGAGGGATGCAAAAACAGAAAGCTGTAATGTATAATGTCATAATGACAGCGATGATAGTGTCTCATTGACACTATATTGACAAGGAAAATACGGCGGGCGTGACCGGTCAGCAAGGGATCCTCACTACCCCATGGCACCTGATCCCACCTCTTATGTTGTAGAGGTCCATTTTTTATAATTCATTAAGACGTTCTATCTTCCCTGAAGATATCATGATTCCGTCTTGTATCAATTTATAGTAATAATGTAGACAAAATTTAAAATATGAAAATCGGCCAAAAATGAAACGAAAGTGATTTTTTAAAATATGAAAGCAAAAAACGTTTGACAACAACAATAAAAACAAAAGGTCCAAGGGTTTTAACGTTTGGAAATATTCACATTTTTCATTCAAGAAATCGGTCCACTTATTTACAATAAATTGCTTGTACTATGAAAAGGGAATAATAATAATAGTAATAGGAAACAGAACGAAAATAGTGAAGTCTTCCGAAGGAAGTCGAAAGACCTTAATAATAAAGTTTTGAAATATACCACTTGTTTGTCAAGTTTTATTGAAATCAGTTTAAAAGTCTAGGAGGAGTTTTGATAGAATATTACGGTTCATTTTTAAGTAACTACAGTAAAACTGCGTTATAAAGAACTCGCTTATAAGGAAATCTCGGTTGTAAGAAATTTATAACGAATCCTATAAAAAAAAATTTCTTGTACGGATATAAATTATTTCCGTTATAAGGAAGTAAAATTCAAGTCAGAGTTACTCCCTTTTAACCGAGTTTTAATGTATAGCACACTGTCCTTTGACATCATCAGGTGATGTTTAGAAAGTATTTTTGTGTAACAATTTTTTTTACCAAGCTTAATTGAAATCAATTGAATTCGGGGAATGAGTAACTTTTGGAAGATTCTTTCTACAAACGAAAAGGCAGACAGCTAAAGTGGCAGTAAGACAGATGGTCGATTGATGGTCTTTTTATGGTCTTGAACAAATAAATTTAAAACAGAAGTTACAGCGCGCTTATAATGTTAAGAAACATCAGATGATATATTTTTGTAATTTGCATTCTATTTCTTACGGTCCTCTCTAATGTTCATGTATTTCACTCAACCTTTTTAAAAGACAAAAAATATTAATGCATTAAAAATTTGAGGAATTTAAAATTCTAGATTACATATTTTTGTTCATATTTGGATATTTTACTAGAAAAAGACGTTAATGGTAATCTAACAACAAAGCTTCATGATAAAACGTGTGACTTTAACTTATCAATCGTCAACTCCCTTATTTATGCAGCAATATACCCTTATCACCTGCATATGGGGTGTATATCTCTCAGTTGATTTGATACGCAAGGGCATGCTTTACACCTTGTCGGCAAATACAATCTATCATTAAGTTATATGCTGACTGACTTGTTTTATACAATTGTTAGGCCATTATTCACACACTGAATTGTCGGTGGTTTTTTCCGTTATCTTCCGATCATGACACGGAACACACAGCGGGTGTGACCGGTCGGCAGGTGATGCTCACTCCTCCATGGCACCTAATCCCACATCTGATGTTTT